GACTAGATTACAGAGCATAGTGAAAGCCAAGCCAAAGGGGTTTTAAGTTCATTTTAAGCGTTTTCTTTTCTCCTTCTTAAACTCCTTTAACTTTAGGATCCGGAAGCATTGGCTCAATTAATGCTGTCCATACCACTAACCAATGATGGAAAATATGTACTATTAAACGATCAACCAGATGACAATGATGGAAGTCCAAGTGAAAATAGAGGCGCAGAATCTGAAGCATAACTCTTGCACTTTTGGGGGAAGAGCACCCAGGAAGGAAAGCTACCTCCTTAAGGGTTTTCAACTTCTCTGATACACAGGCACACAACCTGGTTTCAGAATGCTGACAGTCGCTTGTGGAATGCACTCTCGATGCGTTGGTACTGAGACTTGGGAGGGAAACAGAAATGGTTGACAACATTCCTACCCATCTACAAATGTTATTTTAGGTGCTTTGTGGTAAGTCCTTTTCTTAGATTGTTATTGTTCAGCGCTCAGAATGAAAGTTATGAGAATATGCATTGTTCACTTTATTTGAATGTCATCTCTTCAGTTTCCAGTATCCTTTTTTAAAAATGGCAAAAGCCTAGATTTATAATTTGATAAACACTAAATATTTCCTATTAATATAATCTATTTTTGTATTTTACTTAATAAGCTTTAAGTGCCTGTCATTCTGAAAACTGTATTTATAATCCAGCTTGTCTCATAATTGGACCTAATAGCATTAATCTGAGCAGTAGGTGGCGAGCCCTGCTTTGAGGCCCGCGCACTAGCAGAAATGCAGGTCTAGTTTTGATAAATCTTATTCCAGACATGCAATAAGAAGACTAGCAGTGAGTACCACAAAAGATGTCTAATGAACCAGCATTCAGAAGTTTACAGCCCTTAGCTATTGTTTTAGTGGAGGACCACTGTGGACAGGGTACAGCTCTCCCAGGTCCTGTTTGTTCTGAGCCAGACTCTCCTAAAGGAAGGGACCAGTTAATTTTAAGTCACTTGAAGCACAGCTGGTCGTGGGGCTTGGTATAAAGATCCTATTTCTACCCTGACACATCCAGTTCCTGGCATCCCAGGCCACTCCACCATCCTTTCCTACCCCTGAAATAAGTATAATGAATGAGTACAGTGTGTTTAATTATAACCAAGTTCAACAGAGTATCATTGTCTTTGTAATGAATTAACCTAGCAGTAAATGCTAGCAAATAAAATCTATCATTCTGTTTCTTTTGCTTTTTGTGGTTATTTTCTAGAACATCACTGGAAGAAAACTAAAGTTGGTTCTGTAGCTTTAACAGTTAATTAAAAAAAACACACAAAATAAAATGAGGACATAATGAAATCACAGCAGAGGGGATGACTATCAAAAAGTACTTATATTCAGCATGAGCAGAATAATGTGGTCTGAATGCCAAGTTTTTAAATGGCGGTTAATAAAATAACTTTTGCCAACCCCAATTTAGGTTAATGTTATATACTGTATTTCCCCATGTATAAGATGCTCCCATGTATAAGATGCACCTTAATTTTGAGGCCTGAAATTTGAAAAAAAAAAAAGTATTACATAAAGTTATTGAACTCAAGTTTTAGTCATCATAAAAATACGAAATTCAAAAAAAGCGGGAAATGTGATTAAAAAAATCTACAACCACTGTATAAGACACACCCAGTTTTTAGACCCCAAAATTTTCAAAAAAGGGTGCATCTTATACATGGGGGATTTGGTAGGTCCATCTGAGGAATCCACTCTATAATGTGGACACCATCAGAGACATAGTGATGTGGTCTAAGCCAATATGAGATTATACACCATAAAATTATTAGTTCAATGTTAACTAATGCCTTATAAATCTGTATATCATAATTAGATCAGGAAGCTCTCTGACAGGCTGCAAGTGTCATAATCCCCTAAATTTCTTTTTCTTGCTTAGGACTATTCAAGGTGAGAGGGAAAGAATCCCAAGTCATGAACAATATCTGGCTCCAGAGTCTGTTTCTAACCACTATGTGACAGACATACACACACACACACACACACACACACACACACACATACACACACATTACAAAGAGAGAGTGCATCAAAAAGAATAAGCTACCTAGGAATAAATTGAACCCAGGATGCAAAAGACCTGCATATTGAAAACTATAAGAAATTAATGAAAGAAATTGAAGACACAAATAAATGGAAAGATAGTCCATGCTCATGGATTGGAAGAATTAACATTGTTAAAATGTCCATACTACCCAAAGCAGCACACACATTCAGTGTAATCCCTATCAAAATTCCAATGGCATTTTTCACAGAAATCAAACAAAATCCTAAAATTTCTATGGAACTATTACCACCACTAATAGCCAAAGCAATTTAGAGAAAGAACAAAGCTGGAAGCATTGCCCTCTTTGATTTCAAACTATATTACCAAGCTGTAGCATTAAAACACTTATGTTATCAGCATAGAAACAGACACACAGATGAACGGGACAGAATAGATTAATAAACCCACACACACACGGTCCATTTACAACAAAGGAGCCAATAACATACAATGGGGAAAAGACAGTCTCTTCAATAAATAGTCTTGGGAAAACTGGACCACTATCTTACACCATATACAAAATTAACTCAAAATGGATTAAAGACTTGAACATAAGACCTGAAACAATAAAACTAGAAGAAAACATAGGCTGTAAACTCCTTGACATCAGCTTGGTGATATTTTAAAATCTGACACCAAAAGTAAAAATTAAATGGGACTACATCAAACTACAAAAGGTTCTGCACAGCAAAGGAAACCAAAATGAAAAGGCAACCTACTGAATGGTGGAAGACATTTGCAAATCATATATCTGATTAAGGGGCTAATACCCTAAAGATATAAAGAACTCATACAACTCAACAGAAAAGCAATCTGATTAAAAAATGGACAACAGGTCATTGGGATATAGTATACAGCATAGGGAATACAGTCAATAATATTGTGATAACATGGTACAGTGTCAGATGGTTGCTGGACTTACCATGATGATCACTTCTTTAGGTATATAAATGTTGACTGACTATGGTGAACCCCTGAAACTTATATAATACTGTATGTTAGCTATAATTTAATAAAAGTCTTTTTATAAAAATTTAAAAATCCAACAGTAATGTGAAAAGAAGAAAATAAAGTTACAGAAATAATGAGCAAAAAATAAAAATAAAAAATGGACAAGGGCTACATGAAAAGATGCTCCACATCATTAATCAGGGAAATGCAAATCAAAACTGCACCTGTTAGAAAGGCTATCATCAAAAAGACAAAAAATAGCAAGTGTTGGCAAGAATGTGGAGAAAAGGGAACCCTTGTGCACTGTTGGTTTGTAAACTGGTGCAACCACTATGGAAAACGATGTAGGTTCCTCAAAAAATTAAAAATAGAACTACCTTGTGATCCAGCAATCCCACTTCTGGGCATCTGAGAACAAAACACTTAACTTGAAAAGATATCTGCATCCCCATGTTCACTGCAGCATTGTTTACAATAGCAAAGATGTGGAAACAACCTAAGAGCCCACTGATGGATGAGTGGGTAGAGAAATCTGTGGTATTATCTATACAAAGGAATATTCTTCAGCCATAAAACTGAATAAATCTTGCCATTTGCAACAATATGGATGGACCTCGAGGGCATTATGCTAGGTGAAATAAGTCAGAGAAAGGCAAATACCGTATCATTTATATGTAGAATCTAAAGAATAAGTTAAAAAAAAAAAACAAACTCAGATACAAAGAACAGGTTGGTGGTTGCCAGGGGTGTGGGGTGGGAGTAATGGGTGAACTATTTTTATTTTTGTTAGTTTAAATAAATTGAATTTTTAAAAATTTGATATAGCTAGGTGCTTCTGGGTATAAAAGCAGTAACTTTTCCCCCTCACTCTAGTGATAATGAGAGCATTACTGAAGAATGTTGTGCTACACACAGACCTTCCATACGTTACAGAATGTATAGTCCTTAAAGAAGACCCCAGGATTATGACATCAGATCTACACTGACTAGAAGATAAATTTCATCTACTTTTCTTGAGTATGTCTCCACTAATGGGAACAACTGGAGCTATCAAGTAAACTAGGCGGTTAAGAGCCAAACCAAACTATTCAAATAGCAGAAAATATCCATAACATGCCCATCTAGACGTTTTATATACTATATGTAAGAACTTTTTATACAAACTGAGCTCTAACTTTGCTACCACCATCTATCTGTGAGTTCACTGCATACCCCTATGACTTCACTTAATCTCTACAGATTCCCACCTTTTCCGGATTTTTTAACTGAAATCTTTGACAACCTGTTAAAATTGTTCCTAACATCTAAAAACACTTGTTTTAAAAAGTTGTAGCATTTAAACATCAAGAGGAATACTGTCTGAAACTCCTGCAATGTTAGCTAAAACGAATTAAAATGATTAAAACTGATTAAAGCCTACCTTTTAACATTTAGCCAACCCAGCATAAAAGAGCAACATGAGGATGTATGTGATGGTATTATATCGCCTTTCCCACAATCTTAAAAATGTACCACCTCAGCAAAGCAGCAGCATACAGACTTCACTAAGAAATATTTCTCCTGTTATTTAGTCTGTCTCAAGTGTAATATTGTTTCAATTCAACTCATGCTTGCAAATGGCGCTAGAGTTATTCTAACATTAAATACTGTAAACTCATGATCTCTTTCCAGGATTAGGATTTCAACATTCATGTGGGTTCTTTTTACTTGAAAATAGCAAATAGTAGAATGATCGAGAATGTACAAAGGAAAGAAAACAAAAGCTCTTCATTTGGGATACATGGAGAGGGGCCAATACCAATTTTATACATGAAATTTTTTGCCTATTTTTTGCAAGGTTTTTTTTTTGTGTGTGTGTTTTTTAAAGATGGAGTCCATATATTTCAATAGATTAAAGGGGACTCCAAAAAGGTTAACTACTGGTTTAAGATACTCAATTCTGAACATAAACATCCAGGGAAATACATTTTTGAAATAATATTTATTGATGTGTTATACATATTGTATTCTATTCAAATTAAGCAAGGGGGAAGCCCTACTCAAGTGGAGTAACAAACTTGCCATCTTGTACAAAATTTAATTAGAACTGACAATGTTATGGTTAGTCCTTAATTCCTGAGAATTTGAACATTAAGTTTTCTGTGATTTACAACAAAAGCTCACACTAATTTTAAATTACAGTATGTTTCAAAAAAATGAAAATGTTAACATTAATATGTTAGCAAGGATAGCCATCATCCAAATGTGTGTATTAACTTAGGTGTGAGTCACTCAAACTCTTGTTACTCTGCACTTCAATAACATTGAAATATGCGTAATCTTTTCAGAGATTTTATTTCAAATGTATGAACTTACTATATCCAGATGCAGTGATATTATTTTGAACTAAAGGCAAAATAATCTGTTACTTGCTTCTCAATTATAGGTGTCCATACGGTCAGCATGTGAACTCTATGTATTATTGATAAAATAAATGACATGTATGGGGATAATGAACAAAGACATCTGATTCTCTTCTAATTACAATTTCTATCCCTTTTAAAGGAGATGATTTTAGGGAAGTTAGAGAAGACAAACAGAAAAGCAGTACTGTTGCTATGAAATGGTGACAAATTTGATACACTTCAATGCAAGATCATTAATATAAACATTTACAATAATGAAAATATAAATTATTAATTATGCAGCATGCTTTAGGGCCATTTCTACAGTTAATATGAATTACAAATATTAAATGCCTTTAATTCATTCACTGTCCAGAATTCAGTTAAGTCATGTTTACATTAAAAAAAAAAATTTCCTACCTATTCTGTTTCTTCTGACTTTTAACAGTGAAAGCGTTTATCTTGGGCTGGGAAAATGACCCTGACCGTAACCAATGAATACAGGGCATTGTACACCTGTTCCAAAAGCTGGAAATCAAACAACAATGTCAGAATTACTTGCAGGATTTACCCAAAGAAATGCTTAATAGGCAAGTGTAATGGAAAATCAAGTATTCCCCAAAATGATGTTGGCATTACATGCAGTTTTAAACTTTCCTGTTTTCATTGTAAAAGTACTATTGTATTATATTAAAAGATTATAGGCCATGATTAACCACTGAACTATTAAATGACAATCTTTACAAAAATAAAGCTAGTAGCTTGCTGGGAACTAAATTTACTCAAAATCTTTCTATACTTTTTAAAGCAGTAAATGATTTAATTTATTAGAACTTTATTCTCACAGTGGTAGTTTTTTTAAAAGCCTGCACAGTGCTTAATCTGAGGTCTTAGATTATACTTGGTTTAAAGAAAAAATCTGCCCAAACCATCACCAAGATTTCAATTCAACCTATGAAGAAGAAACCTGAGTTTGGATGTAGAAATAGGAATTCATTCAGTTTTTCTCTGATATCATACATAGTGCCTTCAACCAAAAGTGAAGCTTCAAGTAGACTCTATGGCTTTATCTGAATTTTCTTTCATCTTGCGTATTAAGTAAATCTTAAATTTAAAGCTGTTGTTGGAGGGTAAATGTTCTCAAAGCGATGTAAACTAGTTATAAAATGTCTCACCAAGGACAGCAGCAGCTCTTGTGAGTCACATGAAGGTAACAATGAATCTGTACTGTACATAAAGGGTACATAACACACACTGCCTCACCTCCAGTATCAAAACCATCTTCATATATTCCTTTTATAAGAATATTGATATGTATGCTTCATGAATTTTAGGCTCAAGTCCTTTTGTTTAAGCACGTATTTACTGGCTGTACATAGTATATACATTGAATTTCCAATGACTGGACAAATATGCATCAAAGACCTATGCAAATACAAATTATAAACATTAATGTAGATTACAAGAGATCTGAGGTGGCAGTTTAAGAATATGGATTGGCCCTTCTATAACTTCACTTCAAATAACTGTTCTTAGGCACATCTTTTAGCCTAAAGTCCAGGCAAATATCCAACTTTAAAATCTCATTCTCTACCTTTGAAAAGTAGAGCCTTTGGAAGAATGGACTTAACTTTAGAGCACTGCCTTAAAGATTTGCAACATCTTAGTACTTCCCAGAGATGTGTCCCATCATTAGCTTACTAACATCCATTTCACTGGCAACAGTATTGACACAATTCTGATGATTTCACAGGGGCGCCACATACCATCAATATCATTTGACAACAGGATCTGCAGAAACAGTGCTGTCGGACAGGTCTCCATTGCTTGCTTTAGTCTCTTCTGGAAGCAGAAGTGAAAATAACAATGGACATATTTATGTTCATTTAAAAAAATGAATTAAGTAGTAAATAAAAATTGAGAGGAGCTATATTGTTAAATTTCAAATTAAGAAAACGTTGCAGCTACCAAATATTTCTCTAACGTTGCAAATTATACCTAAACTACCTTAATTAAAAAAAAATCTAGGGTAATTATTGCAAATGTAATGTTTTGACTGGTTCTAAATGGCAGTGTAGATGTGTGAGACATCAGAGTGGCATAGGGGATGGGGTTCCATAGTGCATGTTTGAAGGCATGCCCCCCACAGCAGGGACAATAAATCACTATTATGGTACTATTACAGATAGAAATGAGGCTGCAAAGTCACATATAACATTGTCCATAATGCATAACTTTCCATTTGTAAAGCAGCTTTTTATTATGACCGATAAAATGAATTCTTGGCTTTTTGTGCAAATGTCACATGCACATAATATTTCATTAACAGAGAAGAACTATCTGACTAATGAACCCAGCAACTCTGACTACATCTCTGAGCAACCTTTAGCTAGAGTCCTAAAACAGAAAAACAGTCCAGGCGTGGGGTAAAATACATCAACCAGAACCCTAGAGAGTTCCTTAAGAACAAGTCCAAAGCAAGGTGTTCCACTGAGACTGTGTTAATGCTTTAGGCCTTAAAGTAAATATCCAATCCACCTGCACAGTATTCCAGTCATCTGGGTTGGAGACAAGCTTCTGGCATCACGAAATGCCTGAGCAGAACCTAAACAATAACTGAGTTTCTTCATAATTTACATTATACTTCCTAATGGCTTTGCATATTACAAATTCTTCCAAATGGCTTTGCTAAATATTATCTTAGCCTTGAAAATGAACCCAAACATAATACATACATATTTTCATTTAATAAATTGAGTATCTTCCAGGTAATAGCCTGAAATGATTTTTCAAACACAATTATTATGCAGTCTAGATTCCAAAAATGCCTGCATATGCTCCTTACTAATAAGATTTAATTTATGCAACATCAACAGTGAATAAAGTTGTTGATTTAAATGGTCTAGCCAATAGAATCACCTCTATTCAGTATAAAAAACATTTTTAAATGGTACTGGGAAAATTGGAAAGGCATGTGCAAAAGAATGAAGCCAGGGGCCGGCCGAGTGGCGCACTGGTTAAGAGCTGGCTTGGGACGCCAGAGGGCCCCGGTTCGGATCCCACATATGAGGGCCAGTGACACTGTCCTCTGCAGCTAAGATGCTAAACAATAGCTCAACCTGGAACTGGGCTGCCATGAGTTGCTGGCGACAGCGTAGGCTGCAGCCCCTGCTGCAGTGGGTTGCCATGGGCTACCGTGTGTAGCCAGCAGCCAGCGTGAGCGGTTGTCCAGAAGCCGGTGACTGATCTGCCTCGCCTGAGAAGAGCGCAATGATGGTGCCAACTTGGGCCAGTAAAGCAACGTCCTCCACAACTAGACTGAAGAACAAAAGGACAGCAACTTGTCTGTTCCCCTTCCCCCAATTCCCCAGCGCTGTTCCCATCCCCCAATTCCCCAATAAAAATCTTAAAAAAAAAAAATGAAGCCAGACTGCTGTCACCATATACAAAAATTAACTCAAGTGGATCAAAGACCTAAACATAAGACTTCAAACGATAAACTACACAGAAGAAAGCATAGGTACTAAACTTATGGACCTTGGTTTCACAGAGGATTTTACGAATTTGACCTCAAAGGCAAGGGTAGTAAAAGTTAAAATAAATGAACGGGACTATATCAAACTTAAAAGCTTCTGCACACCAAAAAGAAACCATCAACAAAACAGAGACAACCAACCAAATGGGAGATGTTTGCAAATGTCTCCGGATAAGAGGATAATATCCAAAATACATAAGGAACTCATACAACTCAACAACAAAAAGACAAACAATCCAATTAAAAAAATGGGCAGAGGACATGAACAGAAACTTCTCCCAAGAAGACAAACGGCCAATAGATACATGAAAAAAATGCTCAACTTCACTAGCTATTAGGGAAATGCAAATCAAAACCACAATGAGATATCACCTCACACCGGTTAGGATGGCTATCATCAACAAGACAAATAACAAGTGTTGGAGAGGCTGCAAAGAAAAAGGAACCCTTATACACTCACGATTGGTGGGAATGCAGATTGGTGTGGCTGCTATGGAAGGTAGTGTGGAGGTTCCTCAAAAAATTAAGAATATAATTACCATATGACCCAGCAATCCCTTTCCTTGGTATCTACCCCAAAAATCTGAGAACACTTATATGTAAAGTTGTATGTGCTCTGATATTCACTGCAGCTTTACTTATGGTGGCCAAGAAATGGAAACAATCAAAGTGTCCTTCAATAGATGACTGGATAAAGAAGATGTGATATATATACACAATAGAATACTCCTCTGCCATAAGAAAAGATAAAATACTGCCATTTGCAACAACATGGATGGATCTTTTATTATGGTAAGCAAAGTAAGTCAGACAGAAAAAGTCAAGAACCATATTATTTCACTGATATGTGGGATATAAAACTGGAAGCAACAACGAAACAAGACAAAAAAACAAAAACTCATAGACACAGACAACAGTTTAGTAGTTACCAGAGGGTAAGGGGGGTGAGGGGGATTGTACAAGAGGGTAAAGGGGGTCAAATACATGGTGATGGAAGGAGAAGTGACTCTGGGTGGTGAACACACAATGTGATATATAGATGTATTACAAAGTTGTACACTTGAAGCCTATGTAATTTTACTAACCATTGTCACCCCAATAAATTTAATTTTAAAAATTTAACTGACAAAATATTAATAAAAACATCTTATTTTATGAAATGCTTTGTTTTGATTTATGAAATACAAGAAAAAAGGAAAAAGGGCAAACATGAAAACTGTCAACTCAGTTGCTACACCTAGTTCTGAGCTTCCAAGCAAAGAGGAACACCTAAGTTACATAATTTCCATGACAGAAAAAAGGAGACCTCCATTCCACAGGGAAGACAATTGTTCCTAAATTTCAGATCTGAGAGAGATGTATCACGGGGGGTGGGGAGTTCTTAAGTATGAAACACTGAGCAATGTTCTTAAACATTATAATATATACTTTCCCACCATCCTACACAAAATACAACGGACATAATCCTTTCCTTAATGACTCAATTTCATTGATGTGACAATCGGTTATTGTGGCTGTATTACCCTCTGACTCCAAGGCCTGGCTGCAGAGGAGAGGAGGAGGCTGTTCCTGTCACCAAGTAGCTCCTACTATTCTATACCTTCTCAGTCACCTGTCCCACCTCATTTGGTCAATGTCTAGTCATGAGCAGCTCTGCCTTCGGCAAAATTTAATGTTTCTCCTCTAAATTATTCCTTCTTATCTGATACAGGTTGAGGGGTGAAAAAAAACCACTGAGCTTCTTAATTTTATTTAAATTAAGAGAAGATGAATGAAACTGAATAAAGAGTCACCCCAGAATGAAATGCATAAAACTATGTACCTTTCCAGCTTCACAAATCATCCATGTATGCTTTATTTTTTAAAAAGACATTTCTCATCTATATTATTTTTCAAAAGAAAAAGCTAGAAGTCTGAGCAGATAAAATGGGGGGTTAGTGTCTGCTATTAAAGATTTATTGGTCTTTCCAAGTTTAAGCCACTCACTGACCTTCCTTCTCCTTCTTCTCTTGGTTTTCTTCAGCCGCAGTCTTATCAGCTCTGAAGAAAATTCTTGCACTACTTAGTGAGAAATAGAGCAATTCAAATTCCTAATAAAAAGAATTTGAAATAAAAGCTGAAAATACTTATTATAGCAACATATCAAAATTATCATATTTAATATCTCTATTTCTAAAAAGCTCTAGTGGAAATCATAAATACAGAAACTGAACTAAGTAATCCATTTGTAAAGATCTGAGTCAAACGGCTTTCAAAAACTATTCACTGTAAAATATATTCTTATTACTACTATTCATCTCACTTGTTAAAATGGGGGTTTTCATATGATTTGCTTTTTCAGATATCAAAAAGTCAAAGCATATTTAACTATTACTCTAACCTGTAGATAGACATCCAGTCGCTTCTGAGTGAGATTCATGGTTTGTAGTAGTTTTTCATCTTGATTAGTAGACTGCACATTCTGTTGCTTAGCAACTGCTCTTATCTCCTTCAAGTACTTCTCTCTAACAGACTGGAACCAGTGAAGCGAGTCAAATTCCTGGTACTGATCCAAAAGCTTCAGAATGTAAGCCACACCTGCAGTCATTAGTAAAACCAAAGCAAAATTATAATGAGTATAGAAGTTCTGTTCTCCACCAATAATTCCTAACATTAAGCTATCCATTTTGAATCAATCCTCTTTTAAATTACATTTCACAGCATAAATGAATAGGTCTAGCAACATGGCTTAATTCCTCCTTTAAAAAAAATGTGAAAGTATAAAGAATGGAAAACAAGTCAACTAAGAAGAAAAAGAGAAATAACACGGCTATAAAAATCACCTGGAGATAACGGCCATAAGAGCGGGGGAAAAACTTCTATTGCTATTGGGTTGTCGGAAAAGTCATGACGCATTTTGTCTATGTTTTTCAAAGGTCATTTATTTATATAAAGAACAAAGATCAATCAATGATATGTTGCCCATTTTGTTCAATAACTTGCCATTTTTCAGTGAGCTTCATAATTCCTTGTTCATAGAAGGACCTGTCTTTATTGGCGAAAAACGTTCTGAACAAGGTGCTGATTTATAACCTCATCTGAATTGAACATTATACCATGCAGGGAGTTTTGAAGAGAGCGAAACAAGTGGAAGTCTGACGGCACAAGGTCAGGCGAGTATGGTGGGTGTGGCAACACATCCCATCCAAGCTCCAATCATTTTTGACGGGTGATCAAACTTGTGTGTGGTCTCACGTTGTCGTGGTGGAACACTTCTTCTTTACAATTAACAAGCTCTGGACGTTTCTGGATGATGGATTCGTTCAAACTGTCCAACTGCCAACAGTACACATTCAAATTGATTGATTGGTTCCTTGGTAGGAGCTCAAAAAAACACGACCCCTTTAAAACCCCACCACATGGAGCGTATAACCTTCCTCTGATGAATGTCTGCTTTCGATGTTGTTTGAGGCGAATCATCACGTCAGGACCAAGACAGTTTGCGCACCACATTGTTGTAAACAATCCACTTCTCATCACCAGTTATCAGTCGCTTCAAAAAAGGATCTTTTTCCTCACGTTTATTGAGCATATTGCAGATGTTTATACACGCCGTCAAATGAACTTCTTTGAGTTCATATGGAACCCAAATATCGAGCTTGCTTACATATCCCAGCTTCTTCACGTGGTCATGAACGCTTGAATAATGGATCTTCAGTGTTTCTGCAATCTCTCAAGTCGTGTAACATGGGTTTGACTCGATTAATGCCTTTATTTTGCCATCATCAACCTCAGTGGGCCTCCCTGACCGAGGAGCTTTATTGAGATCAAAATCACCAGCACGGAATTTCGTGAACCATCGTTGGCACTGATGTTCTTATAGAGCATTGTCACTGTAAACTTTATGCAACTTTTCACAAGCTTGACACGCATTCTTCTTTTTATGGAAGTAAAACAGTAAAATATGGCAAAAATGCAGTTTGGTCTTCCATCTTCAACTTGTTGAAGAATCTCCAAAACTCAACCAAATCGCTCAATTTTTTTTTGGAATGAAGCTAGAACTGTCAGCTGTCAAATGACACAGCAATAACATAGATGCGAATGACTCTAGTACTTCCAAAAATGAACCAGTGCCATCTGTCGCAAACATGCATCATGACTTTTCCAACAACCCAATAAATAGACAGCAACAAAGGAAGCTACAGGGAAACTAAATACAAGATGCTAAAACTGTAAAACAAAGCCTAAATATAAGGTCCAGCTAGACTAAGTGATTAGCAGTATTACCAAGGGGATATGAATGATAGTTATAAATTATGAAAAACAAGTATCAGATGACCCAGCTAAAATGTAAACAGTAAACACTACTCGTGAAAAACAAATCTACAAAGAGCACCCAGACCTATTTTCAAGCAAATCTCTCTAAAAATCCATTAGAAGGTGAACATAAAATTAATGGGAAAACAATTCCATTAAGCTTACCCATGGCAAAGCCATCATCAGTAAAAGCAGCTCCAATTTTATTTTTTTTATTCAATTTCTCCTTGCAACTAATGGAATGCTCTACAAAGTTGAGGGTCTAAAAAGATATAACAATATATTAGAGAAACAACTGTGCTAAAAAACTTGAGAACTTAGTTCTTAAAACAGAAATTTCAAAAGCAATAAATAGGATCTCTTCTAGGTTCCTGCCCTTTTGATTTGAAACTTTTGCCTCATATAAACAGCTTCTTGGTGAGGCCGCAATCTGCACAAGTATCTCTCTTAGTGGCCGGCTCTTCTTTCCAAGTCCTTTAAGTATGAGTACCCCGCCCCCATCCCTACTTTGTCCTTTATAAAGTCATAAAATATGCGCACTTTACGCATGAGGACACAGGCTGGAGAGGCTTAGTAACTTGTCCAAAGCTGTACTCTGAAAATTGGAGTCAGAAAAGGAGGCCTGTTTACTTCAAAGCATGCGCTCTTAAGCATGGCAGTCCTTACTTCTGCCCATCCAATTCATTCTAAAACACTATTTCTTACCATATTCTTGGTTAAAAAGGATTAGTAGTTATTTGGATAAATGAATGCCCCCAAAAAAGTGCTTCCCTAAAATTCAGCTCCTCCAAAATACCTTATCTAATCATATATTTATTCAACCAAGATTTACTGAAGCTTACTATATTAATTATGATTAAAAAAATGCATACCGTCACAGAGTTCACACTCCACAGCAGCACTCTCAGCAGTGACATGCTATGTATCTGCGCTGTCCAATACAGTAAGCCACCAGCCACAGAGGGCCAAGGAGTACTTGAAATGTGGCTAGTAAAACTGAGAAACTACATTTTTTATTTTATAAAATTTTCATTAAATTTAAGTAGTCACTTGTGGCTACATATGGATAGCAAAGCTCTAGAGGCGTAGAGAGATCTCTTTGAAAATTATGATGCAGTGTGATAAGTACTATTAACAGTTACAATGGAAACAAAATATCAGGTTTCACTTTTATTGCCTGCAACACTTACTTGGCAATTATTCGCATATATGTGAAAAAGCCCTATCAACTGTTATTTTAGATATCTCATTTATGTTTGTCTTTGTTCTGGAATTAGGTCATAAACTCAAGCACAGGAAGTGGTCTATGCTTCTTTGTAGTGCTCTTAATCCATCTTGTTTGCTCCATCACTAATTCTGACAGCTGCCCTGCAAAACTCCACTCTTCCCCAAACTTGTAAATGGTTTCCCACTGCTATTTACTATGGCTTGAGTATACTGCCCTTCAAATTAAAGAAATATGGCAAGAACTCACCCTAACTAAGGTAACTTCACTGTTATCAAAGTATAACTAAGACTCACCCCCAGTTTGACACAAACTTAAGATGAAAAGATGATATCGGATGAATATGGACATTTTCGCTACATCATAATTATGACATAATTATGATAGAGCATTAACAATAAATGTATAAAAAAAGTAGAAAATTCACAAAGAAAAAAGTTGTCAATAGACCATCAGCTCCTTTCAATGGCTACTAATGGCTATATGTAAGAAGGTATGCGTTAATTCAGGCAGCAATATGAAAAGTTATTACTCTTGATCAAAGTTAGATGCAATCAAAAGCTACATCTGCTCAGTAATATTTAGATTTTAGACCTATCCATTTAAAAATCAGCTTTATGGGCCGGCCAAGAGGCTCAGCTGGTTAGGCGCATGAGCTCTGTGTAACAGGGTTTGATTCCCACATGGGCCAGCGAGCTCTGTGCAAGCTGAGCTCCCGCTCAGCTGCCAACAGGTGGCAGGATGACTCAGCTGGTGAGAGCACGTGCTCCTAACAACAAGGCTGCTGGTTTGACTCCTGCATGGGATGGTGGGCTACGCCCACCTGCAACTAAGACTGAACACATCACCTTGAGCTGAGGGGCCGCAAGCTGCCGATGGGCGGCCAGATGGTGACTGGACTTGGAGCTGAGCTAGCTGTGCCCCATACAACTAAGATTGAAGGACAACTTGGCTGTTCCCCTTCCCGTAATCCCACAATAAAATCTTTAATTAATTAATTAATTAGTAAAATCAGCTTTATATAGAAACCTTTAGGGAAAAATAACTAATTGCTAGTATATACTTCTATGATCTCTTAGTTCTATTTTCCCCACTGTAACAATTGTTTTTATAATACAATTTTGGGTAACTTGAGCTATTCTGGATGGAAAATATAGAGTTAGAGCATAAAACACTATATACTATGACGAGGAAGCACTAAAAATTTAGTCTAGATGTTAATATTTATTACTGATTAGAAAAAAGTTGTCCTCTAACACTGCTTTTAAGAGCTGTATTGGAGATAACTTCATGCTATAACATGATGCGATTAAACTTAATCTACATTGATCACTTAAAATGATTATGTAGTATAATTTAGCCCCAAAATGATATATATGTAATGGTGCACACTCAAGTGATTTAAATCACACCAGTTTTCTCTGGCGGTTATAAACAAATAAGAATCTATCTTAACTATGAGTCTCATTCTGCACAGCTAATAAATGCAAATTCTAGACCACATTACTGACATATTTAGTTTTATCTACAACCAGAAAGACATTAAAAATCTGTGTGCACTCCTTGCTGCAAAGAAATTGGATCTATTTATTCAATGTTTTAAAAATTCATTTTGGATTCCAAAAATACTCACCACACCAATAATAAACTATCAGGAAAAAAAAAAAAGAGTGTGCACTCTGGGCAACAAGGATGCCAGTTAGATTCCCACATGGGCCAGTGAGCTGTGCCGAGCTGAGCTGCCACTGAGCTGCCAACGGGTGGCAGGATGGCTCAGCTGGTGTAACAACAAGGTTGCCTGTTCGAGATGGTGGGCTATGCCACCACAACTAAAGACTGAACTCGGCACCTTGAGCTGAGCTGCCACCCAGATGGCTCAGTGGATAGAGAGCGTGCTCTTAACAACAAGGCAGCTGGTTCCACTCCCGCATTGGGATGGTGGCTACACTGACCCACAACTGAAAAAAATAAAAAAAATAAATAAATAATAAAAATACTCACCAGAGGGGGAACAATGATATAGAAATTTCGGAGATGTATATTCTTTGGCCTTCGAAATTCTGGCGCAAAAACATCTACGAGCATTTTGAAATACTCTGTGCCTTCGGCAGAATTTCGTGTGTGATCACTGAGGACTGAATCCAAATGCCTAAAATGCAAAAAAAATTATTTACTTGACTCCTTTCTCAAAAGATATGGCTTTTTTGAGGGGGGGAAGGAGGCCGGCCGAGTGGCGCGATGGTTAAGAACTGGCTTGGGACCCCAAAGGGCCCCGGTTCGGATCCCACATATGAGGGCCAGTAACACTGCCCTCTACAGCTAAGATGCTGAACAACAGCTCAACCTGGAGCTGGGCTGCCGTGAGTTGCCAGCAGCCAGCGTGAGTGGCCAGCAGCCGCAATGAGCAGCCGTCCAGAAGCCGGCGACTGATCTGCCTCACCCGGGAAGAGCGCAATGATGGTGCCAACTTGGGCCAGTAAAGCAACGTCCTCCACAACAAGACTGAAGAACAAAAAGACGGCAACTTGTCTGTTCCCCTTCCCCCAATTCCCCAGCACTGTTCCCATCCCCGCAATGCCCCAATAAAAATCTTAAAAAAAAAAAAAAAATGTGGCTTTTTAAACCTGTCTCTCATCAGCTTAGATGAGAACACTCAAAAGTACAAAACATTATAAGACATTTCTAAGTAAATTTCTTTCCAGTTCAGAATGAACTTATTTTCTTAGCAACAGAAGCTGTTCAATATTGTTTAATTAACTTAGTCTCTAAAACCGAGTATGTAGGGCATCTTGGCATTTAAAATAATAGCTTTGTATTTCTTCTTCCCACAAGGAGCCCTGTAGAACTCCATTTCATTATAAATAAATTCCTCTTCATCTTAAATCTCTGCACTAATGAATGCTTCTTCTACACCTCCTTATCTCCACTGAAACCTGACTCCTTTTTAAGAACTTAGCTTCCCAATCTGGACATCTTAAAAGACAACATCCCAGTATCTCTGGCCTCTTTGAACTGCTTCAAAATATTTTTTAAAGGTCATCAATTTTTAAATGAATGATATCATTTAATAAGAGGTAACGATCTAATTTTCTTCTTTGATATACTGCACAAACTCTTTTAATCATTTCAGGGCATGTGATTTCAAACAGTTTATTAACTATACATGGCTTCTTTAACTTGGCAAAGAACTAAGCTATTTATTTCAGAGCAGTTAGTTCTGTGTTGGAGCCTTCTTTTCATAAAAATGCACACATGCATTTTCCAGCACATTTTTTATGTTAAAAAATTTAAGCCTATCGAAAGTTAAAGTACAGTATAATGAGCACCTGTATATCCTTCAGCTGGATTCACCATGTAACATTTTGCTACATTTATTATTTTTTCCTGACACATTTAAGAGATGCAGACTTCATGTTACTTAGCCCATAAATACTTTAGTATAAATCTATTAAGAGCCAAGACATTTTTCTACAAAGCCACAATATATTATTATACCCCAAAATACAGTATTATCTAACATACAATAAATACATATTCAAGTCTCCACAATTATCGCCCAAATGTCCCTTACAGCATTATTTTTTTTTTCTTCTCCAGGATATGATTAGGGATCACCCACTGCATCTGGCTGTCAGGTCTTCAGTCTCCTCCTCTAGAATACTTTCCTTACCTTTTTGTCTTTCATGACACGTGGTATTTTTTAAGAGTCTAGGCTAGGAGTTTGGTAGAATTCCCCCCATTCTGGATGACTCAGATGGTTTCCTCATAATAAATTCAGAGCAAACATTTCTGGCAAGAACACAGCATGACTATTTGCTATCCCACTGCATCAGGGGGCCACATAATGTCAGTGTGTCCCGTTACTGGTGATGCTGCTTGATCACTTGGTTAATGTAGAATATTTACATTATAAAGATGTTTTATCCTTTGTGATTAATAAACAATTTGTGAATACTCTGTTCTTCAAAAATATTTTAGAATTTATTGATGATTTTTGTCTGATTTCAAGTATTATAGTGGTAACCGCAAAACAGTGATTTTTCCCTCCTAAATTTTCTCATTCCTTCTATATTTATTAGCTGGCATTCTTCTGTAAAAACACGTTCCCTCTGCTCCTTCAACCTTTCTTATCACCACTATGACCCATGGCTTATTTTTTTATTCAATATATTATAATCGATTTCTACCATTATTTTTTTTTATATTCAAATTATCTCCACTTTGTCCAGGGGTGCCCCTTCATGTCTGACTCAAAAAACTATTATAAGGATGGCTCAGCTAAAAACAAACAAACAAAAAAAAACTATTATAATTATTAATAATAAAACTTAGTTTTCTTAATTCTGCATGCCTCTATCAAGTTTTAAATTGTGTTTCAAAATCACTACTGACTCAAGCCTATAGACCTGCACTGTGTCCAACAAGACAGCTGTTAGCTATTTAAATTTAAATGACATAGAATTTTAAATTCAGCTCTCCAGTCCCACTAGGTCTCTGTCAAGTGCTTGACAACACACATGGTGGTGGCTACTGTACTGGACACTGCTGCTCTAGGCGACATAAAATGAAGGACAGGTATTCTAAAACAGTGTTATCACAGAGAAATATAAAAATAGTAAAAGGAAACAGGTGAAGTGAATTTTATTAATAAGCTATTTGGCATTTTTTATACTAAATCCTCAAAATTAGTTATATACACGTTAGCACATTTCAATTTGGACTAGCCACATTTCAGATGCTCACTAGCCACATGTGGGTAGTGGCTACTGCATTAGCATGTACTACAAGATCCCTTTTTTGTGAAGTTGCAAAGAACTCAGAATACTACAGTCTTAAAAGAGAAATCATTGTATTTCATAAACTGAGATCACAACTTGTATAATAAAAAGTGACATACCCATTTATGTTTACCCTCCATTTAATGTTTTATGTAAACACATACTTTTTAAAAATCTCCAAACTTAGGTTATTCCAAAATTAGATTACCTTGCTGCTTTTAATGTTTCTTCTGCAAGACCTTCTTCTTTTACTAGTTCTTCAAAATTTACAATATCTTCAAGATCAGGCACAAATCTACATAAGAATTGAGGAAGTTTATTAAGGCAAGATAAGTACATAACACTGACACAGACTTTTTTGCAGGACTCCGAATTTTTCTACTATATATTTGACAAGAATTTTGCATTTCAGTTATATTACTAATATCACCACTATAGTTCCCAATTTTGTATATTAATAATCAAATTTTAATCCTTAAAATCATGTAACCACTAGAACCATTCACAAACTATACTGATTAAAATAAATTAACTTTAAGAGATATAAAAATGTTCAAAGGCCTGCTGTAGTCTTAAATTTTAAGAGAATTTAACTAGTAGAATTAATGGTTTTTCTCCCATATTTTGTATCAAAATATATAAACAAGAAAAAAACAAAAACCTTTTCTACAATACTATTTCAAATAGATTTAAACAACATAATTTTAATGGAATAAACAAAGCAAAAATGATGTCTGCATCCATACCTAATGGCATTGCTGCTACAATGAAGACCACCAGATCTTATCATTCGTATGTAGCCCATAGCATTACCTTAAAAACCACACACAAAAAAATCAGATATTTACACAAATAACCCTAAATTCTAATAATCAGGAATACAGTTATACACAATACCAATTACACGGTGTCCGATCCTAAGTACCAAAAGATTGTGCAATATTTTACTTCAGTTCTTGCTTCATAAAAATGAAACAAGTATCTGTGCACTTACATAAATGTGCATATTTACATACATCTATGTTAAACCTTTTAAGAATAAATGTAACTCATTTGGTAAACTAATTAAATGCTGACTACATTAAATTTTTTTAAATTGCTAAGGCAGGTGATTAGGCAAAAAGCGGGACTTCTCACTTTGCTCTGAGCTCTGAGATTCCTTGCTCCTTTTCTCAAAATATTTAACAGACTCAAAGCACATTACAATGTTTTATAAGCAGAGTTAAAGAATTTATATTTTCTAAGAAGAGAATAAAGAGTAAAATGCTGGGAACAAAGTGAAAAGGATAATATTCCCCAACTATGGAATGCATCCTGGTGGCAAACGAGTATTATTTTTCTGTGTATTAGGGGAAAGATGTGTATTTATTTTGATGTGTATTAGTGGGAAAAAATGACTGGCATACTAATCTTGTGATTTCACAATTATTTCATAGGATAAAAATTACACTTTTAAAAAGTATAAAAATATGAATCAGGCAGTATTCATATGGGAAAAAATGCTCATATTGTTGTGAATAAGTGAAGTTTTAAGCAACACTGCTCTAGAAAAATAGCTCTTAATCTGAGGCCCATGGACTCTAACCTGAAGCACCCGAACCCCCCCAGATTACATGCAAAACTGCATGTGTATGTGCATAAGGCCTTACTCTCAGGGAAGCAATCCAGAGTTTCCAACCGATTCCCAAAGAAGGGTTAAGAATTATTGTTCCAGAAGTTTACTGTCTAATATGACATCAAATGTCCATATAAATAAAACAGTACTTACTTGACAATACCTCACTATTAAATAGTTTAAAATAATAAATTTACAAAGATAAAATTCTCTAAGTTCTTGTACTATTTCATAATAGAAATGTCTAATATTTAAACTAATTAATTTATAAAAGTTAAGCTAGTGTTCAGTGACTACAGAACTAAATGCTTATAATATCTATCCCACTAGTAAATTTACAGGCCCTTAAAAACACAGGCTATTTGTATCCTCAGCATCTAGAAGAATATTTGGTATAACTGGCTCTTAGTAAATGTTTGATAAATGAATGAGTGAATCTCAGGAGGCATAATTTTACCAAATATGGTAAGAATTTAGTAACTGTTTGGTGCCTACAACTGTGAAGAACATAAAACACCTTTGGACTTAGAACTGAAAAACCCTGGTGTTAAGTCCCAGAAACACCCCTTATTTATTCCTCTGAGTTTTTCTTTTTACATCTTTAAAATAGTGATTACATGCCTATCTCACAGTTATTGTGAGGACACTGATAGAGAAAACATGTGAAAAGCTCAAGTGAATATAAAGCTTTATTAACCTGTGATTATTTTTAAATAGTCCTTGATTTTAAATATAATGTAACACATTTCAGACAAGTTCTACTTGTAACGTAGGACAAATCAAGAAATTATATATAAATATGAAATAGTATAGCATAGAATAACATTTAATATTTCATCTTTAAATTTATATGTAACTTATTAACTTATATTATTAACTTTTCACATAAAAATTTTATACTTTTGTATTTAGGCTGCAGCTTGAGGAAACCTCTTTTAAAGGCCCAAAATAGTGCCTTAAACAGAGCAGGTACCTAATAGTTACCAGTTGACTATTATTATGAGTATGGTCTTTGAGATGAATTATTAAATATATTTTTAATTTAATTGAAAAGGTTTTATTTAACTTACATTAGTCCACAGTCTATCAATTATTTCTGCACCAACCATCTAATCATACTTGAAAAACTTTTGGCAAGAAAGTTACTCTAGTGGAATAAAGTTGAACTCAGACACGCACAGATTATCTGTATTTAATGAATGACATAGATTCTTGGGATTTGTACTTTATTTCCTAACACTTTGATAATAACTTACCAATTTGGCTGATGAGCTGCCTGAACTGATCAAGGTAGCTCTGTCCCTCTGGGGTTATTCCAAGTTTTCTGATGCCTCGATTGAATTTTTCAGCTCTTTCAAAAGGATACTAGAGAGATAATTTAAAAACTACCTTTATTATAAACCCCCTAAAGCATAAAATGCCTAACAAATTAACCATGCCAATACCACTTTCCTTTCTCGTTTTGTATTTCCATTGTGCTTAAGAAAAAAAAAAATCACTCAAGTCTAATGACAAAAAAACGTATAGCACAAAAACTACCAATGTTTCAGGGTCAATATAAAATAAACTTCTTTTTGACATTAGCTAAGGGGAATAATTATTAATGCCACCAAACTAAAGTTTCCCACTATTATTAGTTTCCCAATACCCAACTACTCTATTAGATAGAAGAAACCAATTCCTCTGAGAAACATTTGTTCAGAGATGTGTGACCACATTTCTGTGGACTTAGTAGGTATTAGGGACTTATTTAAACATACTCCTTCCCAAACAACACATAGCACCTAAGCTAAAATTTCTAGTTACCATCACCAATAAGAAATGATTTTTCAAGTCTTAGCTGATTAAAATAATTAGGAGAGTACTAGCTTTACATTAATAACAAATGCACACAATTCTTACACAACAATAGCATGATTATCTGAATACTAGTAATTTCTGTTCAATAAAAATGAGATAGTTATTACAATTTTCTAGTAATAACTGTAATCTAAAATTTTATTATTTTACTAGAAAGCAGTTTTTTTCTGCTCTGACACTGAAGAGAACTACCAACTAGTATACAAGGAGGTTGGGGCTAGGTGTTGCTTATGGGTAATTAAAATAGTTACCGAACATATGACCCCTCTACATAAGCCTATTGATTCTCTATCCAAATGGCTACATGCCTTTGTATTGTTACCACTAGTAATTCTTCATCTCAATATGAGAAAACTCAGCCTGGAGGGTGAAGACGAAACAGCATTCTTATAAATTATAAGTGGGATTGTCAACTGGTACAGTATTTTTAGAGTGCTTGGCAATATGTATCAGAATTTTAAATATTCATAGTCTTTGCCCTAGAAATTTCTCTTCAAGAAAGTATTTCGGAAATAGTCTCCAAATACATAGAGATAAATGTGTAAGAATGTTACCTGTAGCATTTTTTGTAATACTGAAAAATCAGAAAAACCTAAATATTCATCAGTAGGAGAAAGTTAAATAAGTTATAGTATACATCTTTACTATCAACTCTTAAAAAGAGTAAGGTAAATTTACATGTACTGACATGTGATAAGCACACTCGAAACAGTATATATAGTATTACTCCATTCTTGTTAGAAAAAAAGCAATATATGTGCAAATATGCAAATACATATGTTTATCACACAGACAGTTGAAGGCATCACTTCACATTTTTAATAGCAATTGCCTCCAGAAAATGGAACTGGACGGAAGAGAAATGAGAGAGGATATTTAGTTTATGTACTCCATATTGTTTAAATGCTTCAAAATGAGCATGTACTGCTTTTGTGTTATTTTAAAATAAACTAAGAAAACTAATACCAGGCTACATTGATCATTTAATTTTTCCTTACACTTTAGCCTACAGAGAATGCAAAAACTAAGAAATATAAGGGAAATTATAAGAAACTTGGAGGCCAAATCTAGGAGATATTATGTGAAAAATAAAGAAAACTAAAACCCCAGCAGAGATCCTCATAATGAATGTTATCATAACCATTTGCTATACACTCAACAGTTATACCAAACTATCTTAAAAAGATTATGTAAAATACCTTATGATCATTTTGGTCCTTGATTTCCCTGAAAAACCGAATATCTTTAATCAATCTGGATTTGATATGTTCATCATACATAAACTGGCTAAATATATAGAACTTCTTTTTCAAAAACTGGTAGGTGAAATTAACCTATAAAATTAAAATTCAAAAATTGGAAAGTTAATATAAAAATTTTTAAATCATTGTTATTTATATTATAAAGTCTAATTTATGAGATTTTATAAAGTCTAATATTTATAGTCTAATTCACACTGGAACTGAAATATTTAAATAAACAAAGTATTTTAATGCCCAAATTTACAGAACTTTCTATAAGCTCCCCTTAAATATTTTTACTACAAAAGGAAAAACAGGGGAAAAAAATGGAAAATACTCTCATAATAGGACTAAGAATTATAGTGAGAATCACAAAACCAGATTCAACACTCTGGTTTTTACGTCAGAAACCAGTCAGAAGTTTCTATGTTCCTCCATTTATAAGATTACTTATTACTAATCTTCGTGTCTAGAATGATACTAAAGTAAGAAACAAGGTGCTCTTTGAGCTTTCCCAAAGATAACAGGAAATACACAATAGTCCATAAATATTCTGAGTCCCTCTCATGTGCAAGGCGATGTGCCTGTTACGCTCGCTAGACGTGGTCTTTGTCATCATGAAGTTTATATTCTAACAGGAATGACAGATGTTTTAAACAAGTATATGTTAAATTATTAAATCTCAACTGCAATAATTACTAAAATGAGAAGTGTGGGTGCTTTGAGAGTGAATAACAAAAGGTACTGACCTAGACTCAGAAAACCCTGAAAAAGCAGGATTTGAGTTGAGATTAAAGTCAAAATAACATAAGATTAATTCTGACCTACAGAAGGAAGCTCTGTACTAAATTCCATCCCACCACCCTCAAATACTACTAATTGCATTAACAAACGTAAGTCTTCATTTGGCCAGTTACAGAAATGGGTGCTTTCTCAGAACTTTTCTTGAGGTTTAAACACTACTTTTTCTTAGTCACTTTAGTGGTAGTAGGCTTAGGAGACATAGTTTCTTTGTCCTTCCCACTCTTAATCGAGGGTAACTCTGCCAGCCTCTGATCTCTGCTCTGTGCTCACTTTATCATCATCAGACATCAGGAATTTACTTTCATTAGTGTGATTAACTGATTAACGGCTATATCCCCTGCCAGATTAATTCCTATGAAAGCAGGAATTGTCTGTTTTTCTCACACTAATGTGTAGCACAGTGTTGTAGAAATAAACTGTGTGCATAATTTTATGTTATGAATGTTTGATAGATTAGGTAAATGTTTATTTATCCTTAAGGGTTCTGACATGATCGCTACATGGATGACTCCTTATTTTAAATTTGAAACTAACTTTCTGTGTCTCATTTCCCTATTGGTAACCACTATAATAGAGCTCCAATCACATCACTCATCAGCTCAAACACTACAATGCCTCTTCGACTGTATACTAAAAAGGTCCCTATGTAACTATCCAGTTACATAACTTCCCTATTCACTTATTCCCAAATATGCTTAATAATATTTTACATTTAAGCATTCACATTCTTCTTTCCTCAAGAAGCTAAGTGTGCTCTGAAAAACAGGTAAATTCAAAGACTTCTCTTTCTCTATAGAAGGAAAAATATTGGGTTGTTGGAAAAGTCATGACACATTTTTGCAACGAAAAACACAGAAAAAATACGTCATGACTTTTCCGACAACCCAATAGCACACAAGTTTAAGTGATTTCCTCAAGTAACTGAATGCCCATTTCTAAGAAGGTTCAAAATATTTTTAGTAAATTGCTATTTTTATGGCTATTGAATAATTACTAGCACCCTCTCCCCCAAAAAAGAGCATAACTGACATTAAGTAAACTGCTATCGATGATTTGCTTTCCAAAGCAACTTTCAGAGAATATCAGGCCAGTCACACAGATACACACACACACACACACACACACATTTATGCTGATGTCCTCAAATTTTCAATGCTATTTATAATGACGAATCTGAGATGGTTAAGATATTCTAAAGTGCCTTTTGTGTCACAGAGCTTGCATCACATCCAACAAAATTTTAAGGCCAAACATTTTAATTATATCAACCAGAAAAATGGAAATTCAGGTATAATAGGTAGTAGTGTCTTTGACCACAATATTCTATCAGAAAACTATTTTCCAAACTATCAAATTAAACAAGGGTCTATTACCCACCCAACCCCCCAAAAAGGTGCTTACAGTTGTATTCATGATTCCTGTGCCATGTGTTCGAATTGAATTAGCAATATGCCGAATATTAATAGTGTTCAAATGTTTGTTATTGCTTGTCCGTTCAATAAAAATCTGCAATGAAACAAACTTATGCTAAATAACAACACAATCCATAGCAAAACAGGTCAGTAATCCAAAAAAAACTTTCGCATCTACTTCATTAAAGATAATTTAATTGTAAAGTCATTTAAGAAGATAATATAACCAAAGCAAAAGAGTAAACAAGATGATCTCTAAGCAATTATTTTTTCCTTTGCTTATTTTACCAACTTTCACTATTGAGAATCAATTCTTTACCCCTCAGCCTTCCTACTATATAGCCACATCCACCCACATCAAAAAATTTTTTGTTCTAAAACCTACTAACCTGATTATTGAGATTGTAGAGATATCGAGACACAAATATATGAATGTTTCTCATAATTTCCAAAACATCCAGGCCCTAAAAAACAGTCCACACAAAGGCCTATTATTATTATTGAGATAATCAGACTTGTATCAATATAGTAGCTTACTATTTATAATACTTTTCCCAATATTATTTTAAAAAACAACTATACAAAAAGTATGACCAAAGGTTAAAAGAGCCTTGTAACATGTACAATTAGGACTACTTCCTTGGGAAAAGGTGGCTGCTTGTTATCTTTAAATATTCAAGGATCCATGACTCAAAATCATTTCCCCACCATTCTTGAGAATATTTTTGTCTTTCTGATCTTTTATATATTTTTTACAAAGTAAACTAATGGCCAGATTCTAAAAGGTAGCCGGGGTTATGTGGTGATACTTATAAAATACATACTATTATTTAGGTACTGTGCAAAGTTCTCTACATGTAATTTTTTAAAAATATGGTGTTATTCTTCTAAATTCCACAGCTGAAGAAAATGAAGCTAAGGGAGTTCTTTAAGGTCAAATAGCTAGGAGGAGGCAGAATCCAGGGGTTTTTAGAAAGTCCAATTTTAAATCCCTATGCTTCTTTGAATTGCACTAGACCACCTTTAATGTACAAATTATTAAGAATCCTTCATTCTTGAGTTATTACTCTAATACCTAATGGTATCATATAAATTGTTCTAAAACTTATCTAACTGGAGTGAAAAATACCCCTTCGATTAAGTTTTATCATAGTATTTCTCATGTTTTAATTTGAAATTTTGTTTACTCATTTTTTCTCCCACTAGGCTATAAGTCATGAGCTGAGACTGTTTCTATTCATTTTTGTATCCCTAAACATAGTTCAGTCTAGCCATGTTTTTAGTAACTATTAAATGTATAAATGAATGAAAGGATATACCATATTTTGCCATGTATAATGCGCTCCCGTGTATAATGCACACCAATGTTTTTGGCCCAAACTTTCAGAGAAAAAAATTTTTCATTTAAATTTTTTAATTCAAATTTTTGTTTGTTTACATTTAGATACTTGTTTTTTGTATTACAGAGGAATTTCAGCATTTATATTTTTAACATATTATGGTACAAGAAATTTAATTAACAAATGATTACAATACATAAGAACAGACACAAGGCACAAGAAATTTTATGTACCGGTAACAAATTTACCATATTTATCATAGACGGCCAAGAACTCTTCGTCATTGCAAATTTGTCGTAAGTTCAACAAAACTGATTATCTTATTCCAGGGTATTATTTTGCATACGGATATCGTTATTGATTTCCAGAGTTACACTTTTAACTCATAAGCATAAATAAAAGAATTAAAAACATTTACATAGATATGAAATTAGTACTACCCATGTATAATGTGCATCCTTATTTTTCCCTCACAAATTTGGGCAAAAAAGTGTGCATTATACACAGCAAAATACAGTACATACTAATCCCAGAAATGGTCCCTATATGCAGTAGAATGAAGGAAAAATAATGATCCTCAAATTTTGGAACTAAATAAATGTTTTTTTGGTAAATAGTATCTAGATTACCTTAGAGAGAATTACATGGTAATTAACTGAAAACAAACTTTTGCACTGCGAGATACTGCCATATTGCACTGAGATACTGCTCACTGAGTTAGTGAAGCTAAATGCTTCTTTGCACTCCTCATTTTATGAACAAATGGTTATAATCATATAAATTTAACCATTTTTCCTAAGATATTAAAGTTTATATATTACATGTAGGTTTAAAATCCTTAATTGTATGACCTTGACTAAACTTTTTACAATTCTGCAGAAGTCACCTCATTATCCCAATGTTTCTGAAAAGCTGAATCTAAATCTATGTATAGAGACATGCCTGATTTTTTTGTGCTTTGCTTTACTGCACTTTGTAGATTAAAAGTTTGTGGCAAACCTGCATCAAGCAAGTCTATCGGCACCATTTTTCCAACAGGCTCAGGAGATGGTTAGCATTTTTAGCAATAAAGTATTTTTTAATTAAGGTATGCACACTATTTTTTTTAGACATAATGCTATTGCACACATAATAGACTACAGTACAGTGTACACCTAACTTTTATATGCACTGGGAAACCAAAAAATTTGTGACTTGCTCTTTGTGATATTTACTGTATTGCAATAGTCTGGAGCCGAACCTGTCATATCTCCGAGGTATGCCTTTATTTCAAATGTTCAACAAAAGTATAAACAGGAAGCCTATGGTAAATTCTTTCATAAAGCAAATTAGCACTATCTAATTTTTATTCTTGTCAAGTACAAGGTTTTAGATAGCAAATATTTTCTTAAACATAAACATGTAGGACCGGCCGAGTAGCGCGATGGTTAAGAACTGGCTTGGGACGACAGAGGGCCCCGGTTCGGATCCCACATATGAGGGCCAGTGACACTGCCCTCTACAGGTAAGATGCCGAACAACAGCTCAACCTGGAGCTGGGCTGCCGATGAGTCGCCAGCGACAGTGTAGGCTGCAGCCCCTGTGGCAGTGGGTTGCCATGGGCTACCGTATGTAGCCAGCAGCCAGCGTGAGCAACCAGCGTGAGCGGCCAGCAGCCGCAGTGAGCGGCCGTCTAGAAGCCGGCGACTGATCTACCTCACCCAGGAAGAGCGCAATGATGGTGCCAACTTGGGCTTTGGGCCAGTGAAGCAACGTCCTCCACAACTAGATTGAAGAATAAAACGCAACTTGTCTGTTCCCCTTCCCCCAATTCCCCAGCACTGTTCCCATCCACCCAACTCCCCAATAAAAAAAAAAAAATGTAATAAAGTAAAAAGGAAAAAAAAAGATTTCTTAAAGAAATGCTGTTCTCATGCTACAATCAGAGTATGCTAGAAACATTTTATACCATACCTGTTCCAAAGTCTGACTAGGAAGATGTGCCTCTGTCATAACCAATCCATAACGCTGAGTAGCTAGATTTCTCATTTCACTGTAAGTGGCCCAGTCATGAAGAGCCACTGTTGTTAGATTGTAGAAAGTCTTGTCTAGGTAGTGAGTTACATAAGCTACAAAATAAATAAATGTTTGATTATTGAGACAGTAGAAAAGAGAAAGGAAACTAAAAAGGAAACAACTTGTCTTTGAACACTAAATTTCTTCCTTTAAAACAAGGTGCTAGGAAAATAAAAGTGAAGAAAACAAAAAAGTATTACAGAATAAATGTACTAACGCAGAAAAGATACACTCAAAGCTCCATTTTTGTTATTTGCTCTTTCATAGTTAAGCAAAAAGATATAGAATATGACTCTAAGAAGGAAAGCAGAACACTCACCTCGAATGTCAATGAAACGATTGAAAAAACGAATTGGATTCAGAGAGAAAAACAGGGCCAGGTCTTTCATGCCAACTTTGAAAGGGTTCCGATCATCCAGCTTTAAGTGAGTGTGCACAGAAAGCCGTAGGTCCTTCTCTATCTCTTTGCACAACTTGTCCAGCAAATGCTATTCACAAAGAATTGATACCTTAATTTTTCAAAATATTCCAATTGTACAGTTCCTCTAGGTGTCTATGCTTTAACCATTAGAGTTTTATAATCAGTGCAACAATGAAAAAATTTGTCAAACTGCTTTAAGAGTCTAAATATTCTATGGTAAAATATTACTTTTATTGCAAACTGAAAATTACTTTGCTCTTTATTTTAAAACAATAATTTTTCGGACTAGGGAGCAGTTAAACACTAAGCTTTTATTTTCATTAATCCTTTAAATATAACACCCCTGAAAGAAAATCAAAAGCTAATGTCTGATGGCTTCATTACAAAGAATGTGAAAGCACAAAATTTATGGGAACAATCAATGAAAAAATGTCCTTAGAACATGCAAGACAGGAAATTTTTAAAAAGCTTTCTTGTAATAATCAATAAAAATCACAAAATTCACTGAGCTAAAGGTAATGAAGTTCAATACCGTTTCTGTTCTACCATGGAGTTCTAAATATTGGCAGGACACATATTTTAATTTCTAAATAAAAATATTTAGTACAATAAATGGTATGAAAATATCCCTAATTTCTTCAAACCTGAATAAGGTTTATATTGTGAAATTTACTCATTTTTAATTCCTCCCTCCAAATAAAAATATCATTAGATGGCAATTTAATTTTAAAGGTATCAGTGTTTATAATACACACTTCATTAAAACAGGGAGGGGTGTACTATATTGAATTTGAATTATTTATGTTACACAAGTGTATTTTTTAATATATAATTTCCTCCTTTTTAGTCAGTAGCTTTCCAAATAAAGTTCAATAAAATATTGATAGTTAAGTTGCCTTAACTGTGTTACCATTAGCAGCATTCAATATTTAAACCAATTTTGATTTGTATTCTTCTAACAAATACAATTTTAAATTCAAATATACTGTTTACTAAAGTAAAAAAATCATTCCAAGTTCCCAGTCTGGATTTCAATGTAAAAATTAGAAATTAAAAGACCAATTTAAGCACAATAGTGATACTGTAACTAAAAATCACTCATTTGTTCTAGATAGTGACTTATACCTAATAATTTTAAATATGTGAAAGCCTGGTTCAATCCAAAAAGCTTTTCCAAACACTGCATTCCAAATACATGTTTTAACTTTTCAATCTTAAATATGATGTTACCTCATTTAAAATTTCCATAATTTCCTTGTCATAGCAATCCAGAAGTATTTCGTAGGACTCTAAATGCCTTGCATGCATCATAGCAGGTACACAGTCACGTAAGGCACTGAACATGTACTAAGGAAAAAATTAGAATGTACATGAATTTATAAAAACCAGATCTCTAATCTAAATATTAAAAGGTTAATTATCTTGAAACACAAAAACTCAGTCTGAAGGCTGTTTTTTCATACGACTGTCTTTAGTAAATATGAGAAGTCATATTTTATTCTTTAAAGTATATACTTTAAATATACAAAAAAATTCACACTCACTTATTCTTTCCTATCTTGAGCATTCAAATACTTATTTCCTAAAGAAACAGAAAGATCTGAATAACATATACCTTGCTGACAAATTAATGTCAGATTTGTGACATCAACTAAAATCAAGTGAAATGAAAAATGTCTGGGACTATGAGGGGAAGAGTTAAATACATTAAAATTAAATTATCAATATAAAATTTAACTACAGACTGTATATAAATGCTTATTAAATATGCATAGCATTGTACAAAACAGCATTAGCAGTAAATTTTAAAATAATTTATTAAATTAAATGATCTAATTAGAATGGTTGTATAGTGACTAAAAAAATGATGGGTTTAGTTTATTCTTTGTATTTTTCTTTACTTACATGTAATCTGGCTGCATCAACAGCATTTTCATATACATCATCTAAATAAATTGGGAACACAGCTCGATGCCAGTATAAAAAACAACAGTCACACTGTGTTTGGACTCTACAATGTAAAACAGTAATTAGTGGTACCAAAATTGAAGTACTCTCAAAAAATGTCTGACTTATTTTTGCCTTTCCTACATCACTTAAACCAAAATTAGTACAGAAGAGTCACAAAATAAATGTTTCAAATGGAATAAAAGTAACAAAACACTCTAATACCTGACATTGTCAGAATTCTGCACATACACTTTCGTTTTAAAGCATACTTGAAAAACAACATAGCAACTTTCAATATCATTTGGTATGTGTAACTTACAATACTTGCATCATACACCATTTTACTTGTCTCAAAATTGAAAAGCAGAACCTTTTAAAAACTCATGAACCAAAAAGAAACCCAGTTACACTTAACCTGTCTAGTCTTAGCCAGGTGACTATTTCAAACCTTTGGGGCAATAAAAAGATGAATAAATATCTTATAATGAAGACAATTCAGTATTTCTTCCAAGCATGGAATGTTAATTCCATGTCACTACTACAGAAATCTCAGCTTCTCAGAACAAAAACAGTAAGTTATAAATATGACCATTAAATGGAAATTGTGCTGTAATCTCCATTTGAGTGGGAATTAAAATTCAGAAGACTCATTTTCCCATCAAGAAACTTACTGCTTACTCTTTAAAATAAAAACAATAAAGCACAAGGAGCTACAAAATACATCTTCCAAAAACTAATTCATCTTAGTGACTGGTTGTGAACAGTGTTATTCCAATTCATATCTCATAATGAAATTACAGTAGACTATCTGACATGGGTCTCTAAATCCCTCACAAACAGATAAAGCCTTATTAATTAAAAAGCAACAAAGTTAAAGGTCCACTGAAGACGCCCATCACAATAATCACAGTGTGCACCAGGGTCTGTCAGATGCTCTAAGGGCTACATCATGTGTCTCATGTGAGTTCTTCCAGAAGCTACATCCTTACTGCAGAAGCAAAGCTAAAGAAATATGATCCCTCATCACAGCAGTCTCATTTTGGTCATGCGAAAGGAATTACACAGAGGAACTAATGGCCTATTTGGATTATATTTCCTGTGTTGCTATACTAAAAAGAAAATGAATGTTTCTACTAGTCCAACGTTTTGAGTATCATTATATATCCCTACTTACCTTTCTCTAAGTTCACTGATAAGATCCAGCTTTTTCATGACTACTTGAAGTGGAAAGAGTTCTTCATCTTTAAATGTTTTCTATCAGGGAAGGGAAAAAAAAGCAGAAAAGTTGCAGTCAAAGTAAGGACATGTTTCTTAGGTAGATAAGGGAACTATGAAATCTCAGCTCTCCACTTTATTACATAACTAATAGCAATATGCTTACCAACTGTGTGCCAACACTTAGTGCCAAAGAAATAATAAGTCGTCGTTGTTTTGTGCTTGGTCCATTTAGAGTGTTTTCAGCCAATACTAGAGCAGAGAGCACATCAAGACGCTGTTCGCTATATTTTTTGTCAGAAATTACTCTTTTCTTAAAAAGAAAACAGGAGATATTAGTTTTATTTCTGAGGCAATAAAAGACTCAGAAGAAAACCTTCTCAATAATGTTCTCCACGATTCAGTTTAAGAGAGCTTCGACGACACTTGCTCTGCTGAGCTTCCTCTGATAATGTTATATGCTTTATCACTTCTGTATCACTATCATTTAGCACTCTCAGGGACAGCAAATGTATCAAGCATACTTTAAAATTTCCTATTAACTTAATAAGGAAATCATTTCTTGAAAAAAGATGCATATTTTAAAACTGCAAACAATGTTATTTTATTTTTTTGAAGATTTTATTGGGAAAGGGGAACAGCCAAGTTGTTGTCCCTCAGTCTTAGTTGTGGAGGGTGCAGCTAGCTCAGCTCCAAGTCCAGTTGCCATCCGGCCGCCCATCGGCAGCTCGCAGCCACTCAGCTCAAGGTGCCGTGTTCAACCTTAGTTACGGGTGGGCGTAGCCACCATCCCATACAGGAGTCGAACCAGCAACCTTGTTAGGAGTACATGCTCTCACCAGCTGAGCCATCCTGTGGCCACCTGTTGGCAGCTCAGCTTCGGTGCAACTCACTGGCCCATGTGGGAATCGAACCGGCAACCCTATTGCTCAGAGCTCGCACTCTTAACCAACTGAACCACTCAGCCAGCCCTACAATGTTATTTTTAAGAGGTATATTAATGTATTACATGCTGCAAGTTCAGAGAAAGATAACCCTAATCATCCTAAGTAAAAATCATAAAATAATCATAAAATACCATGAAGATAAATGGCCAAGAATATTTCAAGGAATGGAGTACACAGGCTGAACTAGAAAACACATCTAAGCAACAGAAGAGCAAACTACAAAGATAATTATGCTGAATACATAATCACTTTCATACCTTGGCCACAGAAATAGAATTAAGAGCTTGATGTTGAAGGTACTGTGTTATATGTGAAACTGAATCAGCCACAACCATGCTTCTCCTGTAGAACATATGCTCTATTGCCTAAACAGAAGCAGAAATAAATTTATAAAAATCAACTCAAAACTTTTAGGCAAAATTATAGAATATCTTTATGACCTTGGACTAGGCAAAGAATTTGCAAATGAAATGCAAAAAGCACTACCATAAAGGATAAGATTGGTAAACTCAACTATAATAAAATTCAGCATTTCTGTTCATCAAAAGGCACTATAAAGAAAAAGGCCACCCAATGTATGAGAAAGTATCTGCCACACACAAGGAGTTAGTATTTAGAATATATAAAAATTCCAAATGAATGATAGATTATTTTTAAAAGGCAAATAATCTAACAGAAAATTGAACAAAAGACATGCACAAAAAAGATTTTTCACAAAAGAAGAAAACAGCTAATAAATTTTACAAATATACTATCATTAACAATCAGGAAAATGAACAACATTAAAAATCATAATTAAAACCATTTATACCAACTAATTTGGAAAAAAAAAAGTCTGTTAATACCAATGTTGCCTAGTTGAAGAATAACGGGAAGTCTAATATATTGTGGGAGGTACGTAAACTGATATAATTTCTTAGGAAAATAATTTGGCATCATCTTGAAAAGTTGAACTTGTACATAACAGCAATATACTGGTAGATATATAATACCTTAAAAAAACTCTGGCACAAGTACACCAAGAGACATATACAAGAAGGGCAACATTATTTGCAACAGCAAAAACTGGGAACAACTCAAAAGTCCATCTGTAGGAAAACTACACAGCAATGAAAATGAAGAAACTACAGCTACTCATCCCAACATGGACAAGTTCAAATACAAAATTTTGCGTAAAAAACAGGCAAGTCAAAGAACACAGAAAGCATTACTCCATTAATACAAATTTCAAAAATATAAGTAAACAATGGACAGTTTATAGATTCATCTTTATGTGGTAAAAAGAAAAAAAACAACAACAAGGAAATAAGCATAAAATTCAGGAGAATGGTTTCCTCTGAAGGGGCAAGATAAGATGCAATCAGGGAGGGACAACACTGGGGCCTTGAAAATACAGGTAACGTTCTAGTTCTTAATTGGGATGGTGGGCTTTTAAATGTTTATTATTTTTTAATTATGCTACTATATTAGATATATATGTATCTATACATGCATATACATATATACACATCTATATTTATATTTCATAAAAAAATGTAACTGATAATATATCTTAAAGAAAAAAAGGCTAAAAATCCAAAGGCACAATCTTCAAAAAAAAAATCTCTATTTCCTAAGCAAATCTAACAGCAATTATTAGCACAAATTTACTAGTAAATCTTAATTTCAGTTTTTAAAAAAGGTTGAGTTTTCCTGCCTAAAGGATTTTTCTTTTAATTTATATAGAGTATGCTAAAAAATATTTTACCCTATTTCCAGAAGTATACTCTGGTTCTTAATTTGTTTGACCACTCATACAAGTGGTCTACTATTCAAATCACAAGCTTACAGCATTTTCTGTAAATTACAAAATAAATAGCCTCATGTCGACTACCCTCATCTGCATTATACACTATAAAATAATGAATAATATTACATGGGTCTTATTTTAACTCATACAACATAACTTAAAACTTACACAAGTAAAACTTTACTAATGTTTAGGCTTTTTCATTTTCCTTCTTTTCTGAGTCACATTACATGTTAACTTTTAATATAGTTTAAATGTATTGGCCATTCATAGAACATTACTCAGAAATTCCTTTCAATGACCAGTTCCTTTATCCAACTGAGAGATAAGTACACTTCCCATTTTTTTATTCTCATATAATCAGAAAATCAAATCCTACAGGATCATCCTAATTGAAATTACAATGGCAATGTAAAATAATCTAAAACCTACCTTGAGAAGTTCAACAAGCCTGCATAATGCCTTAACTGAAGTTTTGGTCATTGGCTTTTGCATGGACATGTAGAGATTCATCGTGGTTTTAATAATGGTACTAATACTATATGCGTATAAGAAGCCCTACAAAAAATAAAACATCGATTATAATCACAAGAAAAGATTTAATTTCCTCATGATTTCAATCTCTATGTAATAACAATCATTCCTCAACTTGCCAATAACTAGTGTTTCCAAAGTTCATTTTAAAGTCAGGTCTTAACGAGTTTGAAATACTCTTCCTCGTACAATATTATACATGGTGGTCAAGTTTCAAAGCAGCTCTTAAAGTTTATTTACTCTATCACATACCAGTATAGTTCTATTGAAATTTTAGTGTGTAATCACAGTTGAAAATCCGTCCATAAAAAAACAAAACAAAACAAAACAAAAAAAACCTTCAGAGAAGATTTGGATGTCAGAAAGATATCTATTCATCCTCATTTTACCTGCCAAGGAAAAGGACAGAGACTCCTATCTGTGGCAGCTTAAGACAAGAGCTGAGGACTCTAAGGAACTAGGAACTGAAAAATGAGTGAGAGAGCTGCTCTCTGGCCAATACATATATCCAGAGGTGTTTCTCAGTTCCATGTCAATCCCTCGTTTTCTTTCATCTAAGCCAGCCCCCTTTCCGTCTGCTACCATACCCCCTGCCTTCGTTGGTATTAATCAGACTTTCTCTCCTTCAAGCCCAGTGAGAACAGCTTCTCTCCTACCCTTCTATTCATGAAGGGAGCACACAAGTCTTGTGAGGTTTTAAAAACAATAGTACTAATAAACCCAGGGAAACAGTGCAGAATAAGAAAACAGGACAAAGGATATTATCTCTCAAATATTTTTGCATTTAGACCAAAAAGGACACAGAAACACAAACATAATGATGGAGATTCTTTGGGTTCATAATGGACCAAAAAAAGATACACTTACAGTTTAGAAATGAGCCTAAACTATACTATTGTGGATATATCAAGGAGCTGGGGCTGAAGCTGTGGCAAGTGATTTTCAACCTCTGTCTCCTGCCCTACCACATCATATGTGAACGATACAGTTCTCTCCCATCAGTAACAGTGGCTCAATCTGGGGTGGGAGTTTCTCTCATCCCATAATAGTTCTGTGGTAAAGACGTGCTAAATTAAGGGAATCAAAAAACGAGAGACGTAGTAGCATCCTGAGAGAGGTGGCAGTAAGACCAAAGCCTGGGGCACACACGCAGGTAAGAGCCACAATCTTACCTTATTACAGGACTATAACACCAGATTCTGCCCCAGTGCAGCACTGGGAGAAGTTAAAAAGCAGAAACAAGGAACAGCAAAAGTGTAACTCTAAGGCAGGCAGAAAAGGGGGGGAGCGGGTCTTTAGGGGAGGGAAATCATGGGCTAATATCACACAATTCCCTGGTGTCAACAATTTGTGAAGGATATACATCAAGGATGTATTTTAAAAATCTAAATGGGGAGAGGGGAGGTCTGGGGCCTGTTTCTGTTAATGGCAGAATAAATAATTTGAACCAACCTTCCCTTTGGCAACAACCAGAACTGAGCCTGGCATTGGAGGCTGCTTTCCCTTAGACATGTGCCCATTCCAAAAAAGGAAAATAAAGACAAAAACCAAACATATCTTTCAACATCTCACGGGAAGGGAAAGAGGATAAAAGCAGGAGTTCACGGCCCATCAAGGAGGGGAGGGGATCCTGGTAAACCACCTAGGCTCTGGTTTGGGATCCTAAAAAACTACCCCCTAAAAAGTAGGAGTGAACTAAGGAAAAAAACAGTCGTCATAGGTCATCGGTCCCACTTCAAATCATCTCAATCTATGACTGGGTTGAGATGATCTGTGTTACTAGTTGTCCTAGGCTAGATGTGTACCAGAAGCAAAGATAAATCATCTCGGGAGAAATAAAAACAATATCCAGATCCTCAAAATCATCTACAGCTTTTCATAAATAGTGTGTAGCACTCTATAAAAAATAACCAGGCATACAAAGAGATGAACATATCCAAAAACAAGAGAAACAACAGAAAATAGATATATCCAGATAATGAAATTATTAGACATGGGCTTCAAAATAATTATGCTGAATATTTTGAAGAAAATAAAAAACAAAATTACTTAAGAGAACTGGAAACTATAAAAAAGAAACTAAAAAGTAAAATAATTAAAATTAAGAACTCAGTACATGGGTTTAACAGCAAATTAGACATAGCTGAAAAAAGAATTAGAACAGAGAGAGAACAGAACGGAAACAGTACTTGCAGGGTTAATGGTTGAGAATTTTCCACAAATTCCAGAAGCTCTACCAATCCTAAGCAGCACAAGCACAAAGAAAGCCACACCTAGGTGCATCAAAGTAATACTGGTAAAAAACAAAAAGTAGATCTTATAAGAAATTAAAGGAAGTCACATATTGAAAAAGCAACAACACTGACAGCTGACTTCTCAACAAAAACAAAGGAAGCCAGAAGATAATAAAATGGTATTTTTAAAACCTAGGGGGGAAATCCTGCTAACCTAGAATTCTATATGTAGCAAGAGTACCTTCAAAAATGAAGTTGAAATGAAGACATATTCAGACAAAATCTGTGATAATTCAACATGAAATACAAGTGTTTTACAAATAGAAGGATGAAGAGATACAGGAAGAAAAGCAAAACAGAATGTGTAAAAATGTGGATAAATCTAAATGAATAGACTATAAAAACAACAAAAGCGGCAATAATAATACCTGGTGAGGTTTAAAATATAAAGGAACAAAATACAAAACAGTGGCACAGCTAGAGGGGGATAAACAGAATTAAAGTGGTTTAAGATCCTTACACTGTTTGGAAAATGGTAAAACTACTAATTTATGTTGGAGTTGAATGAGTCAATCATACATCTTAAAATCTCTAGAGCAATCACTTAAACAAAAAAAACAAACCAACAACAAAAAAAACACACACCAGTATTCAAATTCAAAAGACAGCAAAAAAAGAAAACAGACCTAAACAAGTGATACAAATAGAAAGCAACTAGTCAGGTGGTAGTTTTAAATCCAAATACATCAGTAATGACATAAAAAAAAAAACGGTTTAATTAAAAAAACAAATATCAGATTGGGGAAAAATGTATGCTGCTTACAGAAAACACACATTAAATATAAGGAGCCAAACAGGCTGCAAAAAGGACATACTGTGTAGACCTTAACTAAATGAAAACTGGTATAGCTATGTTAATATCACACAAAAGAGACCTATGACAAAAAGCACTACTAGAGATTAAAAAAAGACATTTCACAATTCAATTTATCAGAAAGATAGAACAATTCTAAATATTATGTATTTAATGAGTCTCAAAATATAAAGAACAAAAACTGACAAAGCTAGAAGGCCAAATACACAATAACAGTAGGAGATTCTAACCCAATTCTCTCATTAACTGATAGAATATGCAGTCAAAATCATTAACAAGCATGACCTAATCGACATATACAGAACACTACAACAATACAAATTACATTCTTTCAAGCGTCCATGAAGTGTTTACCAATGTTGATCACAGGCTGGGCTATAATGCAACTCTCAACAAATTTCAAAGTATTGAAATTACTTTAATATTGCCAGAAATCAATAAATAAGTAGGAATTCCTCATATATTTAGAAATTAAGAAATCTCTTTCAAAATAACCCACAGATCGAAGAAAAAAAAATCACAATAAAAATTTTAAAATATTTTGAACCAAAGGATAATAGAAATACAACACATCAAAACTTATGAGATACAGGCAAAAAGTCATGCTTTAAACAGAATTTAGAGATTTAAATACATATTTTAGAAAATCTAAATTAATAAGTCACACAGATCCAAACATTACCTAATCAATTTCAATTTTAAAAACAAAAACATTGCCTATCCTTTCCAGTTTTTTTTGAAGTGTAACTTCTTCTGTACATTAAATTAACAAGGAAATTACCCCCAAAGTAGTCTAAGTAAGAGGATGCAACTACCTGTATAAAAACATTACATCTATTGGTGAGGTCTTCAGCAAATTTATCCATTCTCTGCTCTTTAGATAAAATAGATTCCATTTTCATCATCCATGAGCTCACAAAGACGTAGTAAGACTGTACATCTCTAACAAAGGAAAATATCGGGGTTACTCAGCACAGGAAAGAAAATTTAAGTCCATTTCTTCATATTGGTTGGGATAACATATTTCCTTGCAGCAGCCATTTCATCTTTCTGGGTTTCAAAATCCATATATATACATATGTAATTTATTCATTCAACAAACAAGTGCCGAATGACTATACAAGCCAGGCACTGTTTCTCAGTATTGGAAACAAAAATCAGCAGTAAAGAAAATAGACAACAATCCCTGCCCCCATGAAGCTTACATTCTACAAAGTTGAGTTGTATGATAAAGAAATCAGTAACTAAAACGTCGAAGATGTCGATTGATATGTAATACGGAAAAAATACAGCAGGGAAATGAGATAGGGACTAGAGTGGTGGGAAAAATTGTAAATAGTGATCAGAGTAGGCTCACAGAAAGGATGATTTTGAGCAGTATTTGAAGATGAATTAGTAATCCATGCAAATACATAAGAGAAGATAAGAGAAGAAAATTCTAGGAAAGTAAATAACAAATGCAAAACGTTTTAAAACAGGAAATGTGTCTGGCACGTTCAAGTAGTAACAGAATGGAGCAGAGAGCAGGATGAAAAAAGATCAGAGGTACAGGGGTGGGGGGCTGGGGGAATATAAAAAGTGGAGCATCGGAAGGGAATTTACGTAAGACTTTATAGGCAGCAAAGACTTCAGTGGAAACCCACTAGAGGATTTGAGCTGAGTGATTTGATCTATCTTTGAAGAGTATCAGTATCACTTTGGCAGATATGTTGAAAGCAAACTATAAAGGGAACTATAAACTAGAAAAGCAGAAAAACCAGTTAGGACTCTACTGTCATAATGCAGCAAAAAGGGGAGGACAGCTTGAACCAGAATGGCAGAGTGGAAGTGGTCAGAATCTGACTATAAAAGCTAGTCTTTAGTGAATGCTTACTATGGCAGCCACTGTTTAAGCATTTTATACAAATTAACTCGTTCAAGCCTCACATTAACCTTATGAGGCAGGCATTATGAACTCCATTTTACAGTAGAGAAAACTGACAAGCAGAAGCTAAGTAATGCGCCCAAGATCACACAGACAGTACGTGAGTCAAGATTCAAGCCCAAATCTACGAAGTTTTCCCATGCTGAACAGACTAAATCAATAATATAATTCTACTATGCAGGCTGATTACAAACAATAAATCATTCTACCAGTGCATCTCAAATCCCTCAAGAAAGGAACTTTTAGCCTACATGCTGTTTAAACTATATTTTAAAAACTTAGTGTGCAAAAAAAGGACAATTCCCTTTGCAGGATCTGACGTTACCAACTCTTTAAAAACCATCTTCAGTTAGACAGGGTAGAGAAATGTCCCATCACTGCCAGTCACAATCAACTAAATGACAGCTCTTCAGGACAAAGGACTAAAGAGGCCCCCTTGATTAACACTAGAATCCCATACTGAGGTTGTTGGTTAGCCATATTGCCAAGCAATCTGACAATCAAGAACTCAGTCTGAAAAGGGAGTATGCCAAAATCTTTAATAAATGTGTTTTAAAAGGAAGTAAAACCCTACCATCCAATCTGAGAAAAATGATTCCTACTGAGCCAGGAAATTAGACAAGACACCAACAGTTGTACTTTTTGCTTCACCTCGAATGGTGCTAAGATCTATTACTTGACTTGTGGATGATTCCGTTTAAAAGTCTGGAACACAAAGAAGTGGGGCCCTAGGGCCATGTCTCCACTTTTGAGGAGGAGGCTATGATCAGGACTCAGCAGGGACACAATGTATTATACAGGAGGAGACAGAAAAGTCATCAGCAAGGACAGAAGGAAGGGTCCTAGACTATGGAGCCCTCTCTGACAGCAATCATGTCAATAACGTTATAACACACAGCCAAGAGAATATGCTCAGCTTTAGATCAGCGTATGCAGGATAAAGCAGAGGTTTGTCTATCACTCCGCCCATCACTCCTACATCCAGACTCCAGATGATCTTTGTCTCTTGTAAATATATACAAATGAAACTGCTTTAAGTTTTAAAAAGCAAGTTAACTGACAAAGGGAGTCCAAAAACGGCCAAGGGTCCCATCAGATTGTCAGCTTCATTTCAAAACACAAACAGGAAGGAAACAAAAAGAAAGAAACTAAGGGGGAAAAAACAAATTTCCTGCCCCAATACAAAGCACTAAACAGTGTCAACACTTGTAAGTCAATCGGGGGTTTGAAATGAAGGTTCAGACCTCTAACCTCTAGTCAGTAATCCCAGCGTCAAAATGGTTGTGAACGAAAAGCAAACTGCTGCAACCTACAAACCTGGGACCCCAGTTGAAGAGGTGGCTGGGGGACTTGGCCAGCTGGGGTGCAGTGCAGTGTGCAGCAGGGAACCTGCCCCACTGCTTCCTCCTCGCTTACATAATGCACTCATGGAGCCTGACTGAGACAGCTTTTAGTCGCCCCTTCAACTTTTTCTAAAATGTTACAGCTCATGCTAATCACACCATCTCCCCTCTCCTGGGTTTCACGTTAGTGGAGTGAATTTTAGTTTATGGCAGAAATGCAAGGGGAATGAGAAAGACATTGTCCCCTTCAGTTCCACAGAGCTCTATAGTGACTGTGTATCTTTGGAATTAAAGAATTTAGAAACAAGATTTTATCATGTGGGGGGTCTTTGAAAGTCAACGTATTCAACCTTCCACCTAATAAGACGCACTTCCCACACACCTTGGACTGAGGATCATCTATATTCTGCCACATATGTCTAGTCAAAGTATACATTACCTCCCGAGCAGCCTACCCAACACCTGTTCCAGAGGCTCCAGATAAGACTGGCATGACACATACTTAGCTGTGTGGCCTGGCAAAGTTCACTTCTCTAAGCCTCATTTTCCTTATCTAAAAATGGGATAAAAGTTAATAATGTAGAGTAGTCGCTAACAGCTTGTGCTCTAGCATTGGACTGCCAGGCTCTGCCACCTACTAGTTGTTTAAATTTCAGCAAGTTTAATCTCTCTGTACTTTAGTTTTCTCATCTATAAAATGGCAGTAACAACAGTATATACCTCACATCATTTTCTGATGATTCAAGATGATACATGGGACATTCCTAGAACAGTTGTTGGCTTACAGAAAGCCCCAGATATTAGTTTTCACCTTTATTACTTCCCACATGAGAAGACTCTTTACACGGTTTACATACGACTATGTGTTTAAACCCTTTAGCATAATGCCTGCTAAATAGCTAAGAGCTTGATAATGCTGGCAATTATTATTATTAATATCTTTCTTTTTCACCTTTTGGCTCTAGTTCAAACTTCTGGAGCCACAGAGATCAAATCTGTTCCCTCTTCAACCTGAATGCCCCTCAAATACCTAAAGAAGCGCACTACATCACTCCTCAAGTTTCTCTTTTAAAGGCCAAACTATACAGAAACTCTTCAATGAATCTTCAAAGGGCATGGTTCTCAGATCTTCTGACATCCTATTCAGCTTCATCTAGGGACGCCGCAGCTTGTGGCCCCTTAAAACATGGCACTACCAAACATCAACCATGATCTGACCAATAAGAATTCAATGGCCTAGATATTGTAACTACCAGTTTCCATAATCTGGGTATACTTATTAATGTAATCTAAGTATGTATTGGCGTTGTTAGCAACTGCATCACAGTGTTAAAGAATATGAAGCCACTGATAACCAAAACATCTTTTTTCAATTACTGCTACTAACCTGATTGCTGTCTCTCTCCATTTTACTGAATTGATCTCTTTAAATCCAAACTTATCTCTTTATCCCTTCTCAACAGTTTTAGAACGTATGAGAGACTCTGAAATCTCTGCCATGGGGAGTCCTGCTTGAACTGAGTTGTTGTCATTTTCTGCTGACTTTAATCGCAGGACACAGGAGTACTTAAGAGATACCAGGAAATCTCTTGTATTCGACATACTCATTCCCCCATTGTGTAGCACTGACCCAATGTCCCCTTGATAGTCAAGATCAGCGTAAAGTGGGTCGATATCCCTATTATCCTTGAACCAGGTCACAGGCAAAAACTGTGTCCAGCACGGCACCAGTGGCAGAGTACTGTGTCACTTCACTTAAAATCTTCATCCAGGTCAACATATGATTTTAGCACTACACTCAAGGATGAATGTGCAGAAAATTGCTGATGCTAACTGATAGGAACATTGGACTCTTTATAATATTTTCTCTATTTTGCATATATTTGAAAATTTATAAAATAAGAGTTAAACAAAAATAAGATGTAATCATCAGAAGAAACTAAAAGTTAAAAGCATTATTTTAGGTAAGACTAAAGTACAGGGGATAATTATTTTCCCCTTTAACCTTTAAGTACTTTTTGACTTTTTAAATATGTACATACGTTATTTTCATGAAAATAAAAATAAAGGAGTATATGAGATTAAAGTCAATTCCTCCAAAAAATCATCATTGCATCAGGGGCACACAATGTTTTTAATGTCATCAAATGAAATCCACTGTACAGGCTTCACTTCCAAAAATATTTAATGCATCTAATAAAAAGTATATGTATATGTGTGCATATTATGTGCATATACATGTGTATACATGTATATATACATACACACGTATGCACATATGTGTACATCTCCAAAAAAAATAACTTGCCTAAACCTTAAATTGAGTTCAAGCATAAAATATTTAAAACAAAACAAAAAGAAACTCCTAGAAAATAAATCTGCTAGAGATTGCCCAACCTTTTTTTTTTTAAGTAATGAGTAAAGTATGTTCAATTTTATAACTCAAATACTTTACATATATTTAGAATCAGTATAAGACTTGAAAATTCAAAATATCTAAATATTTTCACTATGGGTACTTATAAAACCTACTTGGTAAGTGATTGAGCTTTCTGCTGTAGAAAAGTATCTCTGTGTATTTTAATGGCTTGAAGACTTTTTCTGTCTAGAAGTTTGGCAGCTGCTGGTATCTTCTGGATCAAAAAATTATCAGGAAACCAAATAATATTAGCAGTTAGAGTGATGGCTGGTGCCTGAAAGAGTAAACGTATGGGGGGACAAATCATTAAACACAGACTAAACAATAAGTTATTTAATAGGTCTAAAATACACAATGGAAGACAATTTATTTCAAGAAAATTTAAACATAAAAAAATACTCATTAATATATTATGAGACAAATTGTCTTATTATGGCACAGAGTTAAGGCATTCCTATATCTGGTGTGGAGCATAACAGTAATTTTATTCTGCCTAAATATTAAACAACATGCATGCACACACATACATTTATACACTCTCATGGATTTTAAGATGAGTAAAAATACACAGAAAATCATATAGACATCCTTATGACCTTTACTTTCACTCTGTATTAGTGAAAAATATAAAAAATAGGGCTGGCCGAGTGGCTCAGCTGGTTAAGAGCTCTGAGCAACAGGGTCACCAGTTTGATTCCCACAGGAGCCAGTGAGCTGCGCCTGAGCTGAGCGGCTGCTGAGCTGCCAACAGATGGCAGGATGGCTCAGCTGGTGAGAGCACGTGCTACTAACAGCAAGGTTGCCAGTTCGACTCCCGCATGGGATGGTGGGCTATGCCCACCCGCAACTAAGATTGAACACAGCACCCTGAGCTGAGCTGCCGACGAGAGACCAGATGGCTCAGTGCGAGCTGCCGACAGGCGGCCGGTTGACTCAACTTGGAGCTCAGCTAGCTGCGCCCTCCACAACTAAGACTGAAAGACAACAACTTGGCTGTTCCCCTTCCCCAATTTCCCAACACTGTTATCCTTCCCCAATAAAATCTTTAAAAAAAAACAAAAAACCCCAAGATGGCTGGGTTCTCAAGGTCACATATCACTGGATTATTCACACAAACTAAAGTGTCAACTTTGAAATCAGGTGTTGCATTATGCAAATAGCAAAGATATAGAAAAAATTTTTTTTAATTTTTTCTACTTTAATAAGAACGGGTGGAGAAAGCAGAGAAAAAAGTAGTAACAGTAATAGAAAGTTAATGCATAGAAAAAAATCTGGACATACCACCACTAATATGTATTTATATTACGCAGAATTATAAGGCATTTTCATGTGATATGCTACTTATTTCTGGAATGCTTGGGTTTTTAAATGAATAGTATTACATTTTTGCAATTATTATAACAAAAATTATTTTTGTAAACAGGAATAAAATACATTTTAAAATATCCAGTTTCATCCAAAATCTTTTTTACCTACTCAAATTAAAAAAATAAAGTCCAAGTTCTTACCTTCTTACAAATGTCCAATAAAGACTTATAAAACTTTTTATCAACAGTTCGAAAAATTTGAAAGTGCAGTACGAAAAGTCCACAAATTCCAACATACTTGTCTCTCTGGTCAACTTCAGAAGGCTCCCCTTATACAATGATAACATGAGAGAAAAACAGAACGTATGTAAAATTCTACTTTCAAGGAAACACAAATTTTATAAACAAAAAAAAAAACAAAAAAAATGCACTTCATATTACCAAGTCTGGCTTCTACATTTGCAAAAATTGAACGAATACTATGTGCAAATTCTTCAGCAAAAGTGCTATTTTTTGACACAGATACTCCCCCATTGAGAGAATCAAACTGCTGTTCTATACAGGCCTAGAGAGGAAACATTTAAAGAGAAATTTTTAGACTCTCAATAATAAGCTATAGATAGATTTAAACATAGTATGTGTGATAAACATCTACATTCATCATTTAAATTTTACAAACACTGAAGTTCAGATTTTTACTCTTATCTAATATAATTATCTAAATCCTTCTGAATGGAAAATTTGTATGTACTTATATATTTGAGTTTCAGTTATGTGAAAGTAATAGAACCGAACAAAAAATCTATTAACTCAACATGAAAAGACACACAATGATGTACAAAAGATATATTTGATGAAGCAGTGGAAAACATGTTTTATTCTTCACTTTGCACTTTTAAGAGTAGAGTTTATTTTTTCTGCTTACAATTACTTTCCTAGCACTTTATTACAGCATATATAGAAATGTCTCCTGGAAAAAGAATCAATGACCAAAATATACCTTTTAAGTCTAATGGATTAAAAGTTAAATTGATATAAACAAGAGTTGGGATCAACCTGTTAAAATTGTGGTCATGTAAAATATAAATTAAAGGTAACCTTGAAGCAGACTTTACATGGGACATAATGCAATTTCTGGTAACCACTACACAAAGCACTGCTGTTCAACAGAACTTTCTATGATGATGGAAATGTTCTACATCTCTGGTGTCTGATATGATGGCTAGCCACAAATACACGGCCATTTTTTCCCCCAGCTTGACTGAGATATTACTGACACATAACATTTGTAAGTTTAAGGTGTACAGTGTATTGATTAGATTACATGTGGCTATAGTAAGCGCTTGAAATGTTGCCAGTGTGGTGGAGGAAGTGAATTTTTAATTTTAATTAATTCATTTAAATTTCAATAGTCACATGTGGTTAGACACCACCTGGACTGTACAGACCGAAATGATATTCTCTGAGACTAGGAAGAATTAAAAACTTTTAAAGGTAGTTTTACAAACCTAAATCTAGAGGTTAACAACAAAGACAATACTTAACACAACCGCTTAGCTCTTAATCCTTGAGGAGCTTTATCCTTTTACATAATTAAAGAAGAAACAACCCTCACCCCTAATACCACTAGTAGTACACTATTAATTTTGTTTGCAAATAGATACTGAAATATTTTACTACACATTTTAAGACAAAGCACTTTTAAAGAAAAACACATTCAACAGTATGCTATTCATTCTGAGTCAACTAATATAAGCCCATTTACTATACCCTGATACATCTCTCATACCTGAAATATCATTCCATCAAGTAACTGACCCTCTAGCTTCAGCAAGAACTTTTCAAATGGCTTTAGTTTTTCTTCCTGAATTCCAAATTTTGAAGGATTGTGATGGACAGATTTCAGTAACCTTGTGGAAGATCAGGAGAAAGACCATAAATTTGCTTAATTCTTAAATTAAAATTTTTCCCAAAAATCAAAACTTTGTATCTGTATTTCTTGTTTGGTTCTACAGATCTGAAAATTTGAACAAAAAATCCTAATATATTTAATTTCCTAATCATGCCTTTTTATATCATATTAAATTCAGATATCTGGTGCTTTCTAGATACCAGACATTTATTAAATATTTATAGATTGAATAAAATAAAATGCCTTAACTTAAAAAAGTCTTGGAGTATACAATGAAAGAAAAAAAACCAAACTCAGGAAAAACAAGTGTCTCTTGAATAGAAACCACGGCAACAATAAGTCTGAGTCCTAAGGCAGTCAAGAATTAGGGTGCTTTATACAAGTATATCATGCTCGCAAACAAACCCACCTGAAATTAAAGAATGGTTGGTGTCTTCATAAAAACATCTGACATGAGATCCTTCTAAATATAGCTTTCCAAATCCTTTATCTGCACTTTTTATATTTTTTTGCTTTTTACTAAAACATTAACTATACAAATAATGTTTTAAATATTTTAATTGGCTCACCTTTTATACATAGTCCAGTGGTCTTTTAATGTAATATGATTATCAATAATTTCATCCAGGGTAAGCAAAACTGTTAGCAGCTCTCCCAAGTGCTCATACATAGTCTGTCAAAAAACCTTTAATGATTACCATTTAATCACTAGTTAGAAGATAAGCTTCATGTGGATTTTTAAAGTTAAACACATTAGAGCTAATCACTGAATTAGTTAAAGCAGTGAATAAATCAGTTAGATGAAACTAATGATCCTCAGATAAAATAATTAGCTTTAAACAGAGAAACACATTGCCCAGTATTTCATCCTTAATTGTGATACTGCAGATTTATTTCACTCTCCAAAAAGACCATTGGAGAATCTGCATTGGGTCACTACTGAGAAAAACAAAGAGTTACACTAATAGTGGTCAGTAAGGCCTCATCAACTTCACAAACGAAAGACAACAAATTAAAAAAAAAAAATCCTTTAAGAGTCTTGCTATAATTGTTGTACTCCCAAATCACACAAACTCCAAAGTAAAATATAGTAAAAATTAGTTTTACAGGTCAAGTTAAATTACTTTTACCTGAAAATGAACTCCAGTTGTCTCTATAATTTTGGGTGCAACCCTATAATAAAATAACATCCAAGTTAAAAAAAAATACACCTCATTTTTAGGTCACAATTTCTTTTCACTTTAAGGAAAACACATAGCAGCAAGAACTCTTGGGATTTTAATATGTATTTACCTTTATTTAGGCTTTAGTCCCCAAAATTTAAGAGATCCATGGAATTACTACCACATCCCACTTTCCCAAGACGGGAACTAACTTGTACATACATAGTCTGGCCTGTCCTTGCCTATATCCAACTCAATGGGCAGGAACATGACAATATATGGGTCCACGGATAACTTTAGCCTTTTAAACCTAAGGGATCGAGCTTGGGAGGGAGGCAGACAAATAACAAAACTAATACTCATTTCTTTCTAAACTATTAGAATTGCCCAATTCCCAACTAGAATCTTTGTTATCCTCCCCAAACTGGCATTTGGGAAGTAGTCCTCTCTTTAGTCAGGTTTATTTCTGAGTTGTCATCCCTACTGAAAAACAATGCATACAACTAGGATTATTAGTCAAAAGGCCTGGGATAATTCAATTCTACTTCCTAGAGATGCAATTTATTCAACAGTAAATAATTTAAGATAGTATTTATATATCAAAGCACATATATTCCACAAGATAGAATATTTTAAAAATTAAACACAAAATTCAAATGAATTTCATCTTCCTTGGGCAGAGTTCGCCTGAATTACATACCAGGTACTGCTGGGGTTGGGGGTTACACTCTCATTCCCTTCTGCCAGGAGACCAGTTTCAGTGAAAGGACAGAACATAAAATAAATACCAGACTGAGGGGGAAAACATGAGAATGGGAAACACTTAACACCTTCTTCCTGTTTATAAGACAGGTAGGATGCAGCATTCTATATTGAGAATAACAATGAATGGACTGGTGAACAAAACAATATCTAAATTGCTATGGAATCTTGGCAAATAATTCCTCAGGGCCTCAGTTATCTCTTCTCATAATTGAGAATTCCCTAGTGATATATCTAAACAAAGTTATTGTAAGTTTATAATTATATAGTCATGTGCCGCTTATCAACAGGGATATGTTCTGAGAAATGTGTTGTTAGGCAATTTTGTCATTATGCAAGCATCACAGAGTGTATTACACAAACCAAGGTGGTATAGCCTACTGCACACCTAGGCTAGCTATATGGTATACCTATTTCTCTGTAGGGGAAGAAAAATAATTTTCCCTCTACCCTCTCGGTGCTTGGCTGAGATATTTTAGTACAGGGAAGGAGACATCCTTACAAACGGAGTTTTCCCTTACAAATGTAAATGTATTTTAGAGAGTAACTTCTACCTGGTTTTCAGAGCTTCTTCCATGTCTGCTGTTTCTCAAAACTAACCAGTCCAAAATAAACCTTACGCCAAACGGACATATTTTTGGGTGACAAATTCTGTCCCCCTACAGCTTCCAGGCTACAAACCTAGGGTGTTACTGAACTAAATACTGTAGGCCACTATAACTCAGTGGTAAGTATCTGTGTAACATGTTGTGCTACAGCACTATCATGGCTACGATGTCACTAGGTGATAGGAATTTTCAGCCCCATAATCTATGAGACCACTGTCATATGTGTGGTCCATCGTTGACCAAAACATCATTATGTGGCACATGACTGCAGTTAAGTGGAGAAAACTTGAAGTATAAATTATTAATCATGTGAAATATTATTTTGTGGTAGGAGGAATGGTAAAGACTGAAAATGTGTTCAAGGGCCGGCTGAGTGGCTCAGTTGGTTAAGAGCTTGCTCAAAGAGTGCGAGTGAGAGCTCTGAGCAACAGCGGTTCAATTTCCGGCCCAAGCTGAGCTGCCGCTGAGCTGCCAACAGGTGGCAGAATGGCTCAGCTAAAAAAAAAACAAAACAGAAAATGTGTTCATTTTTCTTGATTTAGGGCAGTGGTCCCCAAACTTGTTAGATCATGAGAATTACAAAATTTTTTCAAATATAGATTCCCTAACCCCACTCGCCACGATTTTGTAGTTTAAGAAAGGTCTCATGTGATTCTATTGAGTCAGGGAACCTTCAACGTAAAGAAGGGAGGAAAGAAATAAAGAGAGAAAACATGGTATGTTAGCCTTTTTCTATATAATCGAATTTCATTAAGATTATTCGGTCAACATTCTCATTCAGACAGATAACGGGTTCATTCACCATGGTAGAAACTGTCTTATTAACCTATCATTTTTTTATTAAACACATCAAGTAGTGTTTGAAACAGCATGAGTGTTCAAAGAATGTTGAATAAGTGAACGAAGGAATGAATGAGTGAACAAACAAAAAACTATTTTAGGTAATAAGCTAGTTTTAGAAAAACATTTCCTGCATCTGTATTATAAATGCAAAAATATTTCTAAAATCCATTACTTGTTACTGATATACAGGGCAGCCAACTGGTGGACTACATTCATCACCACTTCATAGCACCTGGTAACAAAACAAGACAGTTCCTGAAATGACAAGTGAGGAATATGTTACAAAGTTGCTTTTTAAATGTCTCCATTTCTGACTGAATTTTATGGTAAAAATATTAAATAAAAACAAAACAGCTTTCCAGTGAAAACTGGAGTTAACCTGCAGCCAGACAACTTCAAGCATCCCTCAAGCAATCAATTCTTAACTCACCTCCTGCATCCCAAGGTCATTTCTACCTCTTTGCCCTCATAGCATTTCATTCATAATTCTATTTGAAGTCTTGTTCTATTACATAACAATTACTCATATAATTCCTAAATGACAGAGGACTGTCTCATTCCTTCCTTGAATATCCACTGCCTAACATAGTGGCTAACCCTCAACTGCTTCTCAATAAATTTCTGTCCTATCAAACGTATAACTGAATGAACATTTGAACGAATGAAGCTCAAATGCTGCCAGTTTAGAAAGTATGACAATGAGAGAAAGGGGTCTCCAGAAATCACTGAAATAACTTCAAATGTTTATTACCTTTAATCTTATCTATAAATAGCCTTGGCAAATAGCAATGAAATATTACTTACCCCAGGAATATGTTCATCATTAAAAACCCTGGCACCTACCATGTCCCACACCTCCTCAAAATTTCTTTTCAGAAGCTCGCAACTTTTAAACCTATACACTTTGTATCCCAAAGTATTTGAAACCAGATTAAATTTATGGCTGTTCAAAATTTTAAGCTCTATGAGGGCAGGAATTTCTGTTGGCTTTGTGCATTGTTGTATCCCCAGCACCAAGAATGGTTTGTAACATACGAGGATATGCCAGGATTATAAAACATTTGCTGAATGTTTAAAAATGGGATTTTATGCAGCTGTCAGCAAGACCCAAGAACAATTTAATGTTTCTGAAAATGAAAACAAGGCATTTCAATTTTACTTAAAAAGCCCTAGTTTTACATCTTATTAAATTTCTAAAAGTTTAATAAAAGCAGAGAAAAGAACAGAAAATGCAGGACAAACAACACAAAATAAAAAGGCAGAAACAAGTCCAGATATATAATAGACAATTTATATAAAATAGAAATAGAATAAACAAATAAAAAGACAAAAGATTTTCAGATTGTATAAAAAAATCAAAACCCAGATATATGCAGTTTTAAAGAAACACAACTAAAACACAATGACACCAAAAGCTTGCAAGAATGCAGAAAGATAAATCAAGAAAATGTTAAGTCAAATAGAGCTGGGGCAAAAATAGACTTCTTAGCATTATTATAGCTAATTAATATATATATTTATATATTATCCACATAACTATTATCACAGCTTAAGAGGGGCACCACATAACAATAGAAGATTCAATTTATCAGGAATGATAAACTTGTATTCACCAAATATCCTCAAAATAAGACATGCAAAATTTGATAAAACTAGGGGAAGAAATTGACACATTCACTGGGACCCTACAAATTACATGACTTAGACTCCCGTACAGCAGGACTCTTGTTAGGATCTAACAACAGGTGGCACTAAAAGGAGACTAGAAGGCAGGAAAAAGGCATCTTTCTATTTCTTCCTGTTTTTAACCAACACAATCCAAGCAGGAGTGGTTGACCCCAGCAAGGCCGATTGCTCCAGCCTCCAGCTTCTTCCATCACTACAGAGCCAGCCTCCAGTGCCCTCAAAGGTACCAGCAGCAATCAGGCAGCGCTGCTTCCTCGGCGTACAAGTACTAGTTCCAGGGGACTCCTACTCCAAGCTCTCAGATTCTGGCAACCCCAACCTTTTCCTATTTTTCCCTCTAGATGTAGAGGTGGTATCTGCTTCCTCTCATTACCTCACTGCTCTTTTCCTTTCAGTCCTCCAACTCTTGTGTAACCCACTCTCCTCTTTTGAAATACCTTGTATGAACTGTTTTCTGGACTGGGCCCTGACTGGCACATACCATCAGAGGACAATTTAAAAAAAATATTCTCAGTTAAGTCAAGTAGACTCAAAAAAGTAGTAAAGATATAAATGATCTGAGCAATATATTAATATGCTTGATTCAATGAAATAATCAGATCTTGTACCCAACAATCAGAAGGTAGGTGGGATTATGGGTATTTTTTCTATCTCCAATTTCTGCTTTTGTCATATTGTACAAGCATTGCTTTTATAATGGAGAGGGGTGAAATAGAAATTATTTCATTCTTTTGGTAAAATGAAACCAAAAGACCTAAAATAACTAAAACTTTGCAGTGATGAAAAGCGTATCTAAATTAAAACATTTGGTTAGAAGCATCAAGTACAGTTATCTTTAACAACCTCATCATTACTCATGTAACAACGTAACCATCTCCATTAACAACTTTTTCCTGATATAAATTATCTTTTCCTACCTGACACAAAATTTAAATTATTTTAAAGGCACAGTGACAGACAGTCTATAAATGAAATTATACAAAATTATACAAAGAAACTTTTTTTTTATCCTTATTTTCCTAAAGATATTATGAAACTCTCTCAGGAATTATCATCTCCTTAATTATAATCCAATGATAACTAAGTGTCTTACCTTCACAGTACACATTCTAAGCATTTGAAGGTTTCATAAATTTTTTTAAATTATATATAATTTACTCAAACTTTTCAAAGAAAAACCTCAATAAAAAGTAAAAATCAGTTACCTGTAAGAATGAAATAAATCTCCCCATTTGAATTTGGCAATCACCTTCCACCATGCTGGAATCTGTGGCTTTAAAAGGCAACATGGAGAATAGTATTTCAGTTGTTTTATATACTCAATCAACACCAAACAATAAAAATATGATTTTTATACATTATTACATCTTCCAATCTACACAGCACTAAAAGCAATTTTCACAATAAAGAGAAAAATAAGACAATTACTAATTGCACAGTTAAAAGTAACCATCTGTTTCACTATTTAAAAATTCAAGGAAAATTCTCATCTAGCTGCAGTGCTTTATAATAAAAATATCACGAATAGACTTGAGAATCTGCTAATGCTTCATCACTCAGATTTTTTCACCTGTTTACCAAATAAATCAACAAAAAAGTCTGAATGCTTATTTTCTCACACTAATAATTATGATAGTCCTAGAATTGTGTTTAAGTTTTTAAAGTTAAGCTTTAACTTTTTATTTAAAGTCCTAGAATTGTGTTAAGATGATCAAAAAAGGCATCATAACATTACAATGTAAAATTTTAAAACTTACCTCCTTCTCCATAAAACAAGAGACCATTATAAAATTTAGTTTCAGCCTGTTTTAAAAAAAAAAAAATTAAAATAACTTTAAAAGTTGCTATTTTGTTTTTAAATTCGAGGCTCTCTTAGTTATCCAGATTTTATAATAAGTAGAGGACTACATCACTTATACACAACAAATTCATTTAAATTCAAAACTGCTTACAATACAGATAAATTCAATTTATCTTTGGAGTACCAAAAATATTACTGATAAACAGTCAAAGTTATTTCTTGATTTCTTTAGCCTTTACTAGGTCTTATCTGACCACTCTAATTGTCCTAAATCCTTCCATTAGTTTATGGGAGATAGAAAGCAAACATATAATATCAAAAAGGCAGAGAAAAAAAGTTTACCAACTTCTCCCAAAGTTTTAATTGCTCATGGGCAAGGAAACACAAAACATATTAAAAATTCAAAGCTTTCTTAAAACATCAGTTACATCTAAAAAGCCAGTATATATGGCAGGTCACACAAACTTTGAAAGTATGCAGACCCAGACTCAAACCATTACTATCAATAAAATGTTGGGCAAGTGACACTCTCTTTAAGCCTCAGTTTCATCTATTCCTCACATACATACTTCCCCGGGTTGCTGTAAACATTAACGGGGTTAGCATGGTGCTTGGTACATAGGAAGTACTCTGTCACTATTATTACTACTACTTCTTTAAATAATTAATTCAACAGTCAATAAATATTCATGCATACTGTATACATTTAAGCACATATTTGCTTTTAAATAATGTTTTTAACATCTTAAGAATACAAATAATTACCTCATACTTTAATTTCTTGATTTCACAACAAAGTGCAGCATAAACCGTGATGACTTTGTTTAAGACCTAGGTTCATGAGTAAAAACATAAAAGAAAATTATACAAGATAACTAAAGCATTTGAGAAATAGATTTTTAGGTTTAGGAATCTGTACCTTATTTTCAGTCTTTATGAGTTCCAAAAGGGAAGACTGTTCATAAGGCAAAAGCTATAGAAACAAGAAAAAGAACATCTTTTTAATTTGAAAAGAATCACTGAAATCTTAAATACACAAATTAAGACTAGCTCTATTCTATTTAAACTTGCAGTAGACCCTATACTCAAGTTTCATGGGTATACA